CAGAGAAAGAAATGGAATATGTTACATACGTTGCAGACATAGCTGAGAAGGAAGCTGATGTTCAGAGAGTTACTATGAGTGAAGAACCTGAATTTGAATTAACCGTAGACGAACTGGAGCATATAGCGCATATTTCACGCATGGCTGAAGAAGCATTTGGTAATCAAACATTACAAAGCTCTGAGATTGATAAGAATTTGGTTAGAAAGGAAGATCAAATAAATTCGAATTATGAAGAATATAATGTGGAGGAAAATGAACCGGAGAAGTTTTCCGAACAAAGTCAGTCTAGAACAAGTTCTGTAACGTCAGGTCCGGATTCTTCACAGGAATCCATGGATATAAAAATGAATTCGATTTTGCCTTCAGTTGATATGTTTGCAACTGATGACATGAAATTTACAGAAGATATTTTATCAACCGAAACAATAACACCGGTAACAGAGATGATTCTACCTGGGAAAGTAGTTTCAAATGCAGAGACTGTGTTATCACGAACCAGTAGTTTCATTGCGCCCGAAGTAGAATGTCTTTTGTCAGCTAAGGACGGGTCCCTCAGTCATTCGCAAAAAGAATTCGCATTTGAAGGACAATTTGAACAACAGGCGAAACAAATTGAACAACATTGGGCACAATCGATTATCGGTAAATCTGTCTCAGAATCATTGAAGGATGACTTCAGCATCGGTATTCAGAGAAATGGTCAGTTGTTCGATGACGGTACAAATCACTTTTCGGAAAGTTGTAGAAGCAGAGAAATAGCTGAGGATGAAAAAAGCACCACGATTATCAGAGACGAATCGTACCCAATTCAATCCCAAGACCCTCGAATTCAACTTAACGGAAAAGTTGAATTTAGTTTGGAGCATTCGAACCACTGCTTCATTGATGGACTCAACGTCACTTCAACAGTAACTTATACAGATCGACTTTATAAAAAAATGGCGCGCACTCTTCGATTTTCAGAAAAGATGTCACACTATGGAAGGGCTAACTTCTGGAAAACATTTAATAACGAGAAAGATTATTCCCCGAAAACACGTATTGAAGGTATGAAGTCATCATTTACCCGCGCTTCTAGTGTTTTTGTAGTTTACACTGATCAAAATTTGCTCGCTTCGCAATCTGGAATACCAGGAAAAGTAAGAAGGAACGACAGCGCAGGAAAAACACTGAGTCATCATAGTAATACAGAATCAGCTGCGACAAGCAAAGCTGAAAACTTAGGAGACATCGGAATTGACTCTGTAGAGCAAAGGGATTTAACTTCTAACATAACTGCAGTAATGCCGGTTTTGCAAAATAGATGGGAAAGGTCTGGAGAGATTTCTAGCCTTTCCGGATCTCTGTTGTCATATTCCATGTTTGCAAAAACGGACGATGACGAAGGTAAAGAATCGTTAAAATGTTCCTCAACGTGGCTATTGAAAAATGAGAAACCTCGAGGGACTGTCCAAACAAATGTCTTTGAACGCTGTGAACGAGAAAGCATTGCTGGTGATGGATCCATGCTGCATCATGCAGACTGCTTGATGCGCCTCAATTTTTTCGCAGAGCGGATAACAGAACAAATCGCCGAACTCGCTGCTGTGGAGTTAGGAAATTGTTTCAGGGCTGAGCTTAATCCAAGGGCTAGGTATTTCTTACAAATGCGTGCTGATATCGACAGCCAAGAGGAGTCAGCACCTATTATTCTTTCGGAAAGTGATGAAGAAATCGAAGGAAAGATTACATTGGGGTTAGGAATTATTTTGGAAAGATTTATGTTTACTGACTTCTGAAAATTATGGGAACTGATATAAGCTCCAGATGTTTCTAGCATTATTCAAATTAGATTTATCAAATCTGGACTATTTTATTTATAATAGTCCACTTGTATGTAATAGTTCACTCTCTCACGCTGAATTTTTTACTCATATTAAATTTTTGACAACAGTTCATTTCTACTTTTAATTTATGAATTAAAAAAATTATTCATATAATTATTTGTTTCAGTCTAACTGAAAAAAAAGAGCCGCAATCAGTAGTGGTGCTAGATACCGGATCGTCTCGAAGTTCACCCTGGTTTTCTCTATTTGGAGGTAGTACGACTAATGGAGAAGATAGATCACGTTCTCCAATATCATTTCTCTGGCGAACAAGTCATAGGCAAAGCGATGCATCGAGTCGAAAAAGTTCGCCTGATGGAAGAAATGAATTCATGGATTTGCTCCGAAGAACTTCTGGAACTTCAAGCAATGGTTCCGATATGAGTACAAAATTACCTGATAGCGCATTAGCTGGCCTTTCAAGTGAGGAGCGTGAACATATTGAAAAAGTATGTTTTACTACTAATAATGCAATAATATTGTCAAAGACAGTATTTCACGAAAATAATAGAAATCCATTACTTTGTTGTCCTTTTATTCATATTAATTAAAAAATGAGTATTTATAATAGTACGTTCTAGTCACTAAGTGCTGTATGGCTTTTGATTAACAGAGAGTGAACGCGCAAAGCCGCTTCTGAAAAAAGCTGGTAGTGCAAGCTTTGTCTGTTTAATGCTCTGTTTAATTTCCCGCTGGTTGGTTGAGTATGCCTAATCTGCTGGCATATAATAGCAAATAGGAATTTTTCATACTTTATTTAAATTTGAATTTCAGGTACTAAATGCAGCGAATCGACGATCTCGAAGTAGCCAGTCAACACCAACGGCTTCTAGAAGGTTTGTGTTTTTATTAGAAGAGCAGAAAATTTTATTATTTTCTTTAAATTATATTTAGTTTATAAGACAATAAGAACTAAACATTTAATCTGTGTTGACAAAATATTTAATTTGCCCGTTTTCGCAAAATATATGAAGTTTTCAGACAATCTATTTACAAGCTTCCTGACATGAATGATTTCGAATTATGTGAACGAGTACATATCGAAAGTGTTATTGAAAAAGCCGAAAAAGCACTCCCATTTGTTATCAAAATTACAAATGCGGATACTGTCAGAGAAGATTCGGATGATGAAGAGAAGTTTGGCAGCACTGTTAATCAAACAACAAGCAACACGAATGAGCCTGAAGAATCAATATATGACAAATCAAAATTTTTACTTGACAAACCAACAGGAAGCGCTTCTTTATCTGAAAGACTGGAAAAACAGCAAAATGAGAAAATTTTTGGAGAGGAAACACCAGAAACTAGTGTAATGAAAGTTGAACAGGAATCAAGTTTGGACGCAAAAGCTGATCTTGAGAAGAGTAGGAGAAGTGAAGCTAACTATGAAATTTCAGATGCAGAGATGGAACATATTCGAAAAGTCACGGAAGCAGCTATGATAATGGGAGCTGACAACCAATGGATAAGTTGGTCTGGCAATGGTCAGAAAACTATCAGAAATTTACAGAATATGACAGTTGCCAATTCATTAATAGCAAATGAGACAGCAGAGGAATTAAATACTTCGGAGGATCCCAACAGAGATAGGAGATCAGAACCAAATAAGCAAGATGTTCGAACCACGGTGGCTTTTTTTGTTGAAAGGATGGAACTGGAGAAGATATTAAATGCAAAAGAAATGATTTGTGAAGTACGCAAGCAGAAGGTGGAAAATTCGGAAACAAATGAAGCTGACGACATGGGCGATACAAATTTGCTTCAAAAATCACCAAGTTTTAAATCATTTGTAATTAAAACGAATCCTTTTGAGAAAGAATTGAGCAAAGCAAAGTCTGTTGCCACAGATATGGAAGGAATGAAAATCTCTCAGAATTATGAGGGACTAGAGAAGAAACTAACTGAGGAGGTAGCAATGCATGTCGAAGAGCTTGAAGGACAAATAAAAGAGCCGAAAAGATTTGAGAATCCTATTCCGAGAGAAATAATGGAAACTAAGACTGTCAGTCTGACTGGTAAAGAGTTGGCACAAATCAGGCTGATTGATGAACGGGCAAAACAATTGGAAAAATCAAAATTTACACTTGAAGGAACAGAGAAATACAAATATCAGGAAATACAAAATACTTGTATGATCGATGATGAAGAGTTAGGACAAACGAAAGTTGCTGGAAAATGGGTAAAGGAACTGCAACCTGTTGACGGATCATTTTTATGTAGATCCAAAACCAACAAGCAGAAGAAAGAGAAGAATGAATGCTTGCTAAAAGAGTTGGAAGTAGAAGAAACAGCAATTGTTGAGAATCTAAAAGAAGGCATCAACTTTCCCGAGAGGGACGCTCTGGTGAGTACCGTCGAAGGAAAAGCAAAGCATTTAGAAGAAAATGGTTTCTTTAAGAAAAAAGAAGCGGAGACTACACAGGATGAAGAGGAAGAAAATAACACTTTGACTGAGGAGGAATTGATGCAAATACGAGTTGTGGAACAACGAGCAAAACAGATGGAGGAATTTTTCATTTTTGAAGGACAAGCCACAAAAGTACTTCAAGAAAGAAAAAGAAAGGATTCACACTTGGCAACAAGTAAATTAGCTACTGAAGAAAAGCCTCAAAATCATTTAACTGAGGAAGAATTGGAACATATCAAGGAAGTGGAGAAAAATGCTATTTTGCAACTCGAAATGCCACTACAGCAAAAAGATGCAGCATTGGGTGAAGTTGCTTTCAAAAAATTTGCTAGCATGTTGAACCCATTCAAGAATAGTGTGATTACGACGCTGTCCTTTAAAAGTAATGTTGATGAGGCAAAACTTTCCCAAAGCACTGAATTTGCAAGAGATGTATCAAAAGCAAACAAGCAGATCGTGGATGAAGCAATGAAGACAATCAATGAAGGCAAGGCGTATTCTGAAAATCAAAATTTTAAAACCGATGTACCAACAATAAAGGAAACTGATTATACCCACAATACTGAAGTTTTGGTAACAAAGAAGGATTTAGCGTCCATACAAGCAATTAATGAATATCCTGAAAACCAAGATTTAGGATACATATCCTCAAGTGAATCATCAGATTTTGGTCCAGGAACATCAGATGAAGATGAAAATATAGATATGGACAGTGTGAAGTCGTTCGACCTGTTTTCTGAAACAGTTCCTTCAATTTCAGAATTTAAAGGCGATGGTTTTCCAAAAGTGAAGAAACCTTCAACGAAGTATAGCACCATCAAAAATAGGGAATTGTCGTTAGAAGTTATCCCAAGCCCTATTCACCCTATTCATACGGAGCTTTTGCCGAACAGCAGAACAGAAGTATGCAGTCATAGAATACCACAAAAGGAACAGATTTTAGACATGACCTCTTCATCTTTCACGAGTACAACACAAGTTTCTGTACAGTTAGGCACAAAAGATAGTGATACCGATGAACAAACCGTTGATAGATTTGCTGGGCTAACAGAGGAAGAAATTGAACATATTAAAATGGTTGATCTTCAATTCGAACTTGAAAATGCAAAAGATATATCAAAAGTTTCTACACATAATGACGAGGATTCAGAAGTTGAAGATGATTCAAATTTTATAAACGAAATGGTTGCTAATACTGAAGAATATGAACCACAAGGACAACAAGCCTTAAATTTCATTAACGTTGATGATGAAATAAGGTCTGATATTCATGTAGATATCGCATCTGTAGAAAGTGAAAAGGATTTAGTACACGATACAAATCAAATACCGCTGAAGAGATTTACTGCGAATGATAAATTGCTGGAGCAGTCCGTCGAAAGGAATTTGACATCGAGTCAAAGAGGCAAGTCATGGCAAAATGCACATACGGAACGAGATAATAAAGTGAAATCGTTAGAGGAACTTGGCCGCGAAGTAAACATCGGGAAATGGTATGAAGAGCGTTTAAGTTCGCTCAGAAATTCATTATGTATTGAAGAAACTCCTGAAATTCCAGGTTTTGATTTGAAATTATATAATTTGACGATAATCATAACGAAAGGGGCATTGTGATTCATTGAAATTTATTCAATGAAATCAGATTCAAAATTTGTATATTCATAGCTGAGCTATTTAGATAATTAAAAATTGGTATTTTTTTCGATCACTTGCTGTATTTATAGATAGGCGGTCGTATGGTTGGGATTTGCTGTGTAAGACAGGAATCTATTCCTTTCTTGATGTGACTTTAATTAGAAGACTATTTGAATGTATTTAAAAGATGGACAAAATAAACGTCAAGCAAAATAATCCTTAGCATAATTTTTGTGAATCACTACTGTGTAATTATTAATATTAAAAATTAGATTTTAAGCCCCATTTCAGATTATTTCACTCCAAATTTTTAATATATTCTTACACCGCTGCCTTGCTGATATGAATGAACGAACGTTGAATGACTGTCGTATAAAGAGCTTTTAAAATCTGAAAATTTTCGTAGTGAAAAAAGCATAACATGATAGTGAATTTCTTCGAAAAACTTCATGTGCCTTCATCATAGGTTTATTCATCTTTAATTTTAATTTTTATGATTATTTTTGAGTGAAACGAGGAATTCCTCTCATTATCAGGAAGCAAAAGTCAAATGCATGTTATATATTAGATTTTTTGATATCATATCAGTCCATTCGATAAGTTCGAAAACATTTACTCGTAGAAATTGAAAAAGAAAGTGCACCGGAAGAATCATCGTACTTGCTGCAGTCGTTATCATCACCACCATTTTCATCATCACCTATGACAGCATCAACCAAACATATAAATTTCGAAGCAGAATCGATCGGGTCTTCAAAAGCTTTTAATACAAGCAAGGCAGGCATTGCGCACTTGCCTATCGATCAAGCATCACAACTAGGAGCACCAGCAGTGCAAGCCTCAGAAATGTTAGCATTGGATGTACATTCTGGAGAGAGCACATCACAGCTCTATGCATCATACTTTGCTGCTTCGACAACACTACAACAAACGCAACAACAACAACAACAGTTTTTGCCAGGTATAGATGTCTCTGTTTGATAATACAACAGACAGGATCAATTTTACCCCCAGTTTAATGAAGTTTTATGAACTGATTATTGATTAGTTTGAAAATCTTAAAAAGCCTTGTTTGTAAAACGAACATTTTGCGGAAATAGCAAAAACCACAAGAATAGACACTGCCTACTTATAGGATCATTTTAGCACCATTGAAGTTTGAATTCTCAAAATTTATAGGCGCAGAAAAAGAAAAACGGCGGAATACGGATAGTGAACCACGTGTTGTTACAAAAATTATGTTTGGTTCATTGTCACGTTTGGCTGGTGATGCATTTAAGGGTGCGAAGCAAGCTACTGAGCAACTTGCGCAAGTTGCGCAGCATGCTGCCTCCACTTCCGACTTGACAATGACTAATAAGGTTGGCAGACATTTTTGTGTGTTTTTTGATAACATAGTATAAGCTGAGTATGTAAAGAATTTTGTAATAATTGATTTAAAACTGTTTTTTTTTTCAGATAATGCATAACATTTTCAACATTAATGAAAAAACTAATTTTAGTCTCATTATTTTTGTTAAGGGATCACTTACCGTATTCGTGCTTTATGTTCTCGATTTTTTTCCTTGAAATGGAATTAAAAACTATTGGATTTATCAAACTTGAACATTAATCAATATGAAAATGAATAATTAATCATCTCTGAGTGCAAAAAACGATGAATTCTTCAAAATTTATAAATTTTCACGCTTGGATTTTCTTAAATTGCTGCTTGCAGATTTTCTGTTGATGTATAAGAAATTTATACATGTTTAATTTGTAGTCAAAACTTCCACAGATGATATCATCATCGTATCCAATATCTCCAAGTCAATCCTTTCTTGAAAGTGATTTGTTACCTGGTTTGGATGATTTGTCAGAAGAAGAACGTCAAAAAATCATGGCAGTAATGGCAAGCGCTGAATTAGACATGGCATCGACTAGTGTGTCTGGATCATCAGCTCCGGTCAAAATATCCGTTTCGCTGGATTCATTTTTCAAGAATGAGGATCCAAGGTTGCTAAAATTTCTTTTACCCTGATAACGCTCCATCCTTCCATTTCCAATTGTGATCAAAAATTTTGTAGTCTATGGATATTGATTTTTTTTAATACAAATCAGGTAATTTCTTCACTGAACTAATAGCATTATTGCAGTTTAGTATTTGTAGGAATTCTATAAGCAGTTTGCCAGAACAATCGAAAGTGGATTCTGTCTCAACCAATAAAGTAGAGTCGAAGTCGTCTGTTACGATGCCGCTTTTCTCTGACATTGTAAATGAAATTGATTTGTCGTGTTTGTCGCCAGCTGAACAAAACCATATTATCGGCGTGATGAAAGCTGCCGAATCCGAGGAGGCAAATATTATTCCACCTGTGTCATCGTTGCTTCCAGTATCAACAACGGCACCACTTTCAATTACCCCAATCAATGGTTTGTTCATTAGTTAAAAAATTTTTACATGAATTACTTCAATTTTTCCTTGTGCTAAGTTTGGAAATAAATTCCAAATAATCAATCAAATAATGAACAATAATGATGATGATTTTTTTACCTAATGAATCATTTTTTCGAACATGTTTATAGATGAGTTTCACGACAATTTAGCTGGACTTTCACAAGCTGAAAGGGACCAAATCTTAACGGTGCTAAAAGCCGCAGAAGAAGAGCATTTCGAAATTACTCAGCCTGTTTTCCAAAATGGTATTGTTTTCCTTGAATTCTTAAACTAATAAAAGTCTAGAACTATTTAGTTCAATTAAATGAAGTATAGGGATAAGGCATAAATAAATCATTAGTTATAATAGATCACAAATAATCGATTTCATCTAATTCATTAAATGAAACCCATTTTAGGAACATTAGGAGATCACAATGAAGATAATAAATGGCGTCAGGATAAAAATTTTGAAAGCACTGGTGATCAGGATATGGAAAATCATGAAGCCTTTATGGAATCATCTGCTATATCTTCCATCGGCGCAACACTACCGCAAATCGATAGTGATTACACAATAGCTGAAGACAGCAGCTGTGATCTCGGTTTCAGACATCCAAGTCTCGTATCGAGTATTGCCACTGGAACTGATATCCAAGAAACAGATACCCCATCAGCACCTGGAAGTAGTGATTATGGTAGCGCTGATTTTGATTACACTTATGGAGATGATAGAAGGTTTATATTTGATGGCACCAGCCAATTGGAAGATTCTCCGAAAGAAAATCAAGATACTGATAGTGGTATTGGAGCTCTCGATTGGTCCGATCAGGTAGAAAACTTATTGGTGTCATGGATCAATTCATCCTTTCTTGTTAATTGGTGTCATGGATCAATTTATCCTTTCTTGTTATCTTCAAATTAGCTGTTGATTCAATACAAAAGGAACATTAGCAAAACTTTTGCCAAATTATATTGGCTTGACATAATGCTTCATTGATTATAGTATTAAATGGATTTATTTAAAGTTCGTGACATTTTTCTATTCTAAATGCAATTGAAATGAAGACTTAATACATAATTGATGAAATACAATAATTTTAAGGGGCATTATGAATGGAGTGAACGGAAGCCCCGAATGTGGACAACGGTCTTCACCGAGGAAGAAGAAAAACATGATACAGACATGCAAAAGCGTGGAAAAATGGCAGAAAATTATATTCAAGCAGCCGATTCACATCACCAAATTATTGCAGTTACCGATGGTCATTCTTTGCTTCTATTGGTGGCCGATTAATTTATGAGTAGGAAAGAAAAATTTTTAGTGTTTTTTGAATTCTTTCAAATAGATTGCATTTCCACATTTTGATCGATTAAGGGTTATGGAATTACAACGAATTGCATTTTCCAGCTCCTGAGAACACTGCTAAGGAGTCAAGTGATACTGTTGAAAAAAACGTATATAAAATAAATACGACTCAAGATAATGATGAACGACTTTTTACCAGTACTGTAAGTCACTTCAATTCAATTTGTCTGTAAGTACTGTAAGTTAACTTTAGTTCAATTTGTCTATGTATTTTTTCGGACATAATGCTGCTCTATATACTAAAAGTAGCATTGAAACTACTAAAATTTGGACTTTCCATTAAGGACTTTCCATTAGAACATCAATAATGTAAAGGTACTTCAGATGCAAAAATTTTTATAAAAAGGTAGATATTGAAAATTCTAGGACAATCTTCCGGAAAAGGCTTTAGAATCGCAGACCTCCGCTGCTCAACATGAGATACTGAAAACTGCGCATATTATGCGGTTTGTTATTTTCCTCAAATTTTTGTTTAAGGAGTGCTTCATATAGTTCACTTTATTGGTTTCCATTTGTTGGTATTATTATTTACCATGCTGTAGGATTCCACCAGCAATAACGGTAACTGATCACGATCACAGGATCCGATTAACAGCTGATGACGATTCCGATGCTGAAACAAGTCCTTCTTCTGATGAAGATGACTATCCTGATCAGGTTCATTAATTTTGGATTTAGACTTTCAGACTCTAGCTACATCACTTTCTTCGAATCATAATTTTAGGTAATCGAAGTGCCCTCTGCACCACCAATATCGTACGACGAAGTGGAAAAAGAGCAAGAGCAACAAGAGGCATTCGGGAAAGCTGTTTTACAGCAAATACAGGTTGCAAAATTCTTTTAACTGAAACATTTGTAATATTGCCAGATCTTTTTTATTTGATTAATTAAACAAAGTTCCGTAATGAGCGTTAAATTACTGTCAGGCTTTTGGAGAAGCAGCAAATGATGAATTTGACGTGCAGTGGGTTCATGATAACTTAATCAGAAATGAGGCGATAAGTAATATCTTTTCACACGATGAAAGTACAACACCAGCGGTAAAATTTCATCTAATATGAACTCTATTTTTCATAAATTCACCGTTTTGATCTGGTGAGCATGATACTAATGGTGAATTGATATCAGGTAGCTTACGATGGGATCCTATTATCAGTCGAAACTGAGCACAATGACAAAGCAGCGAGTTTGAATAAAGTTACCTCCGAGAGGAAAAATCCATTCCTGGATGTCGATGGTAGTGTCGATGATAGTATACTTAAAATAGTGGAAGAGGATGTATGTTAACAAATTTTATTCGTTAACAAATTTTGAGGATGTATGTTAAATTTTGATTCATGTATGTTTGTAGTATCTACAAATTATGCTTTCAAAAATGATTTCTATTGCTTCATCAATTTTTTTGTTCTTATTTCTGATGATTCATTGCTGATGAAATCGTGTTTATATGATATCGGTAGTGATTAGTTTATAACAAAAATTGATTATAGTCATTGGAACCTGATGATGTTGACTACACAGCTGCAGCTAATTATTACAGTAGCCAGTCACTGTTAACTCATAGGCCTGGTTCGGTTTACACAATTCCGGAGGATAAAGAGCAAGATGATGGACAGGTCAATACCGATTCGAAGTTCTACGGTAGGTTATTTCGTAAAATTCCGTAAAGGCAAATCAGCAAGCAGAAGTTTTTTTAGTTTTTCGATATTCGTTATATTAAAGTGAGAATTTGATTCGCCGCACTGAGATACCAATGAGTAATAATTTTTTTTTGTAATATCATAAATATTTAAATTAAATTAAAAGAGTTGACTGGCGAAATTTAGCGAAGGAAGTGATTCGCAGGATACGCGCAGAATCAGCAGTTCTACAAGCAACTTCTAAGTCCACTGCGTTTAGTGAGGGAGAAACTGCGTTAAATATGTTTTCAACTTTGAATCCTACTCAAAAAGGTTAAACTTTCATGATCGCTCGTATAGAAATTTTCAGGTATTTTAACCTCGTTCTCTTGAGTTTACCTGTTTTATTTTTTTTATTCTTCTGTTAAATTAGAGCTTATAGATTGAAAAGCTTACAAAAATTGCAAAATTAAATAATTCTAGGCAGAGATGTGACGACAACCGTATATAGTAGCGACTACTATAGTCAATTGCAAAAGCGCCAGGCTGAAAGTTCAAAACAAACGTTGTTTCATGATGAAGAAACAAATGCAGTAACTCCTGTAGTTGAAGCGAATATGAACAGCTTTGAAGCTTCAAAACAACTGGAACATATCACTACATCTTCACCAACTGCACAGAAAGTCAGTTTTACAATTTTACGAGTAAAAAAAAATTTAGGAGTATGCATTATCACTGAGTTTTCTGAAGATGCACAATATTAGATTTATTTACGGATCACATAGCGTTCCAAAAAATCATGGAAGTGAATACCTACTGTTGGCTTTTCATTGTTAGAAACGAATGTGATCATGAGTTGGTTTAAGCTCGATTATGAAAGAAATTTTGATAGAAATTTGGTTAAACTCACTCCTCAGTGTTCGCTAATTGAATTTTGATATTGATTTAAAGTGAATCTTATCTTTTCTTGTGCTTAGGCTTCATATAATAGAATGTTAAATAACCTAAGCATTGGAACAAAAAAAATTTTATCACATTCCAAAGCTGCTGTTTTCAAATTTGTTGACCAGTACAGTTATGTCCAGTGATCACAGCACAAAATGCATACTTTTTTTTTGCAGGAACCTTCTTCCTGTTTATCCTCCGGTGGTGTTTCATTATGTAGCAGTGCTATGGTCTTCAATGTCTCTTCGCATCGTATTGCATCTGCCGGTTTCGATGGCATTCAGAATGGGAGAATCGATGAAATGGAAATATCCACAAACTTACCTGCCAGTAGTATGCTATTTTATGTAGAGGTTTTTCGTGTCACTGTTTTTTTTTTCTGCTGAGAAATATTATTCATTGCCCAGCAAGCAGTTTTGCTGTTTCCATGGGACACGCTGCATTGAACTTGTCGATCAGCCGTTTTCTTAAGAAAACGGATTAAAATTGAGTCAAAAATATTTCTCTCATGATTATTTTTAAATACAATTCATTTTTTTTTGTATTCAAACTACCTGAAATTATAAGTCTTTTCTATTTGCTTACGATTTTTGTTGCATCATGCTAATGTAATCATGTTTCAGAAAATGATTCTGGAATTGGGGTATTGAAAATGAATTCAGGAATAATCCAACATTCAAAAAGCGAGTCATCATCAAATTTGATTTGTAGTATGTCAAATTTTCACCAGATACCGGGACAGCCATGCAACTCACCTTCCAAAGCAAAACCTGCGTCACTATCAGAAACGTTAGGAAGTGGACTAGATTCGAACGCTGGAACTATATCATCCAGATTTGATGCTGATCCAACAGCCACAAGGTTGTTAACACCCAATTTGTGTATTAAGTTGATGATTTACTGAGGCCTTTTGTATGAGCATTCGGTGTTTAATGCTTCGTAGCACTGCCTCTTATGAAAAATGAAATTTAGGAATAATGCTTCTCCGTTTCTCTTGATTTCGGATCACCTAATAGTTTAAATTTTGGTTTATTTTTCTTGTTATCAGCCATAATATGAAATTAGAGGTTTTTTTTTTTTTTTTTTTTAGATTAAAACGATCGCCAGCCATGATGCTGATGGGTGGCCAACAACATCACGTTCCTAGCACATCGGCAACCTCAGAAATGTTGGCCACTGCTTATGCGCCAACATTGTTTTCACAAACCATTCCAAAAGAGGTTATTTAACTTTTCAGTTATTTTAGATTTTAGAAAATTATTTCCAACTATTGTCAATTCAGTTTTACTTTTCAAGTCTAATTTTACTTCTAAATTTAAATCTTTAATTTACTCCACTTCTAAAAAACTTTTTTCCCCGACATTAAAAAACTTATGAATTTCTTTGAAGTACTTCAGGATAATCGGTATTGCACAATTTGTCATTTTGTTTAATCTGAATTAATTTAAAACGATCTCAATTATTTTGAAATTAAATTACAAAATTTATTGTTGGTCGATATTACTGTTTTAATATCAAGACATTATCGCAACCTTTCTAGAAAAAAAAAACTCAAATAGTAAAAAATAAAAAAAAGCATGAATAAGATAGTTAAGATCCAAAAAAGATGTACTTCTTTCCCAGTTAACTCCCCGTTCTGTATTAAGGTTCAAAATATACATGTAAGGTTGTCTGTGGAAATAAATTCTGATACCAACTAACTTCTGACACAAATAGTTTCTTCTAGTAAAACGAATGAGAAGTTAATAAAACACCACTGAAAGAGAAAAAGCATACTTCAATGGATATTTTTGTTGATATATTTATTTGATTCTTTCCAATTTATTCCTCGGAACGATTGCTCTCAGGAGATTGTGTTTCTCATCGAGTTTTCAATAGTAATGTTTGTCAGTCAAGTACTGACTTCATGGAAATAATTTTGTGATGTTTCTTTTCAACTTTCTGAGGAGGGTAGGCAAGAGAGTACATTTCACACGCATGAATATGGTAGTATCCCTATTGTTACTACATAATTCATAATGTATAAACCTAGAAAGAGTTGTTGGTAGTATTAGGTAAATTAGTAAATCTGAACATGAAGAAATCAGTTCGTAACCTCACGTGAACAGCAGTAATACTGTTCCAAACTAACTCTTTCTATCCATCCTCTTCTCACTTCATTATTGATAGCTGAAAGTATAAGGTCGCAGAATGCTTCAATAGTAAAATGTTCAACATTCTTACGCTAAGAAATGTTTGTCCCGCCGCGTTAGATTGTAGTTAGAGACATTAGCCTTAAAAATATGGCTTTATATGAGCACTTCCTATTTTATGCCACAAATTTAATAAATCATTTACAACATTCAACGGTTTCATATGCTCTGTTTATCCATACAAACGACGTCTCATTCATGTTATACGTCATTGTGGGAGTGTCCTTAATACATTATGTATGTACGTCCGTCTGTGTGCAGAAAAAAAGGGGAGGGTGAGAGTTAGTAGACGTTTGTAGAGAGAGAATGCCTAAAAAGGTTTGCTGTAAGCTAGCGAGCATTAAAATGGATGAGGGTATTGTTTGCTCCTGCTGTTGTTGTTGTTGTTGCTTCAATGTAAACGATGAAACGCAGTGCTTCGTAGCTATCTTTCCAACGCATTTTTCTTATCTGCAATTTATTATTTCTTAACGTCTTCCATTCTTTAATCATCATCAACAATCGGCAGTATTTATTATTGATATTAATGCTAAAGTGCTATGAACATTAACTGACAATTTATCAATGGCTCTGCTTTACGATACGGATTGAATTATTTCAGTTTCAATTTGTTCGTAAATTACTATTTTTGCCTCAAGCAGACAATTTTTAATTATGAAAATCTTTTGATTTAGTAGAATACTGTATTATTAACTATCAACAAACGGATGATACAACAGCAAATCGGTATCGATTAACATGAACTTTTTATAAATATTTTAAATATATGATACAGATTCTTTGATATATATATATATATATGTGTAGAAAACATACATGTATGTAATATATGTGATGGGTGCGTGTTGATGAAATGAGCTTGCACTCCAATCATGTCTCTTGGGATTGATTTTCTTTTTTTGACAAATAGAGCTACATAGTTACATAATCCTCCGACTCTATCGAGTAATAACGGCAACCGCAAACTGCTTTTCTTGAAAATACTTTTTCTCTCATCGTTTTGCACTCAAGCTAAACGTTTCTGCAGCGATATGATTCAGTAAAAAAAATTTATGCATTCTAGAATATCCCAGACAAAATTATGAAAATTCTGGAATAATGCTATCGAAACACTGACGCTTGTTCCATTCCGACTTTTACATATCATTGAATAACTCGTATGCATTATAAATCTGTGTTGCTAGTATAATTTCTTTGTATCTGATTATTTTTATGATTAAGAATTAGAATTAATTTCTTTTGACATGATACAAATAAACGAGTAGGAACTATGACTAATGTTTTTTTTTAAACATATGTGTCTTTTAGACATAATGCGTGGTAGTAGGGATCTATTGATTTTTGAATCTTGCAAAATTTATATAATGTATAACGTGTGGTAGTGAGTCTAGAAAACTTTGAAAGTCATTTCAAGGAAATGATACAAACAATTCAAAGTTCTAAATTTAAGTGGATGATAATGTTTTAAACATCGTCGTTAGTTATTTCAGATATCCAAATAATTCTTCGTAAATAAGATTGGGAATCAGGAAGCAATCCTTAAATGAAGGGGTCTTCCCCTTAATGACTTTTAAATCTTGCGAAGTTTATATGATGGCATTTCAAAAATATTTGAGGGTAATAAGATATTACCAGTTCTTCAATCTCTTTGCAGAAAATATTCCGTTATTTAGTAATTCTTTGAAATCATCTTTGATGTGTTTGAGAAGTATGGCAGCCAAACTATTACCTTTTCCAGTGCTTTATCTGTTGGTTCAAATAATTGAAATTAGATACAATTTATGCACAATGCTTGAAAACCTTTATCTATCTTTAGTTCTAGCAGCGAGCGACAGCGATGACTTTTGACCCATGATATTCAATTAGGAATGGGACTGTTAAACTACGGAGGGATTTGCACGATGCTGGGAAAAACGAAACTAATGAATCTCTTTTTGTTATGCCTTTTGAGAATGTGCAATCTTTTTCTTAATTATATATTTCTTAATTATAAATTATGTGGTTCAATTAATTCATTGACATTTTATATAGAGTACCGTAAATTATAATAAGTTATAAATAGGAACCAAATATTTGAAACTTGTCATAAAGATAATCACAGATAATCGAGATATTTACAGGATGATGTACAATGTTCGACATCATTGGAGATGGGACGACGAAAGCTGCCTTCAATACCAACGCAACGTGCGGAGAAGGTCAGCGAGACGCCTCCCGCTCCGGTCTTCCTCACGTCAAGCGCTCCAGTCGTATCTCCGTCTTCCGATCGACAATATCATGCTCAGGATCCTCGTGCCTATTCACAACCCGCTTCCCGTGCTGCTTCTCTAAGCAATCTGTCATTGCCATCCTCTTCATCAGCCGCTCACTGTCGCACAGTATATTCTGCCATCCTTCCCGGAGCAGCAATCGTTAATGCAAAACCTAAATTACTCCTTCGACAGACGACTTCTGCTGCTGCAGGTGATCGCTCCTCAGTGCTGGGGCAAACATCGGGTACTAAAATGCCCAATCCACTTGCACGAGTGTTGCTGAAGAAGGAACTAAAGGAAGTCTTGGAAAGAAGACGAGAATCCTTGGAAGCCTGTGAAATAGAGGCCAATCAAAGGCAGTATATCGTGCATCGAATGCTTATTACTGGACTTTTGCCTGAATATCGTTCTGTTGATATTGATAATATTCCTAATGTGATACCCTGTCTATTGCCTATTGAACTTATCAGTGGTGCTCGTGTGGTACCAAGTGAAGTACCCAGTACGACAACCTCAGTGACGACCACCTCCGTCCCTGAACGTTCTTCTGTTCTACCTTCCTCATCCTCGATTCAAAGTAGTACGCAAGAAGTGGGCATTTCTACCGACGACTTTTGTTTAGAACCGAAATTGAGATCGGTTGGAGTTCAGTCGGAAAGTTCTTTTGCCACTGCAACTACATACACTGCCATACCTAGCTCAATCTATCATACAACTACTGCTTCACTCAGACACCATATGAAACATGATCAGTTCGATCCATTTAGTATCAATACGGATTCAGCAGCGGTGCTGCAACCACGCTTCCAGTCCACGGAAACGCAAACAAATGGCATCACGACTTATGAAGTTCATAGCAACCAGTTGTCCAGTCGCCGTCATCGTAGCTCAGCCAGTAATATATTTTCGTCTTCCGAACCAAATTTGCTGGAATCTACAGCAAAATACTTCGCAGAATATGATAGGCAACTTCGGGAACATGGACGACGATTGAAAAATCGTTTTGCTTTCAGCGACGATGATCCAGTAAACAGGGAAACCAGAAAACAGAGAGTAATGGATGAACTCGCGCAGAGGAAAGAAAAGATTTCATCTATGATTGACTTATATTCACGACCTAGTTTCCCAATTACTCATCCTACTTCCGATTATTCATCTATCGTTCCACATTACGGATCTTTGCCAAGGATCGATTTCCCTGCAACACGTTCTCCTCGATCAAATCGACGTGACCACATAAGTCGTAATCGTAGTCGATCTTCATTCGGGTACGGATCACTTCCACGGAACTATGAGCGCTGTACTGAACGAAATTATGGTGATTCGCGGAATGATTATTACCAATCACTTCCAATTCCAGCAGGACGTTATGAAGCGCTTTCGAGGTCCTGGCATAATGTGAATCCTACTACTGTGGAAGATCCCATCCTGGATTCCAGAACGAGGCTTTATGCCACTCGATCCACGAATTATTTAGATCCATGGTTATCATATCCGGAATCAAATGTCTCTTTTGGACGTCCATTAATGAAAGCTGCATATGATGATTTGTATAGAGCGCAGTACATGCCTAGTGCACGAGCACAGAATTTTTATGGTCCCCAAGGTCTACCTCATACCGATATTATCTCACAGTATGCAAATTACCTGAGTAATCAATTTATAACTGACCAACAGAAGCTTATGAGCGGTTATCCAGCGGAGGAACTGATGTACCTCAATCAAGCCAAAAAACGTCCCTACTCTGTGCCTAGATATAGATCCTCTACCGCCAGTGGTCAAGCACTACCTATGATAAATTATGAGGATCCATTGCCTTCTATGGAGGTTGATTCAGCATGCTTACATCCAAATCAACCAATTCAGCAACCGATTATTCCCGATCCTTATATAAATTTTCCCTCTTATGCGCAAAGTAATCATAATGAAATGTGGCCTTGGTGTCAGCAGCTTCCTTACGCGAATAGTAGCGCACTTGATAATAATGCAGCACTACCTTATCATTATCCCAACCATTTTTCTCAGACACCGAATACTCTCCCTGGAGCTTCACCTCTTCTTGGTCAGGTTTATAGTAGGAACGACGCAAACTATGGCTCAAGACCGTCTCATTATGCTACTGAGTATGGTAATTATTATCGGGACAGAGCAGCTCATCAATTGCCGGACTCTTCAAATAGAAACTATGCAGTAAGAAGTCACTATCCTTATATTCCTTATTCCACCCAATATCACGCAGGTAACCGTTATCTGAACGTTGGTGAGCAATCTTATTCACCAAATCAACCATCGACATTTATGGATAACTATCCGCCAATCTCTCAACAACCTAGCCATGCAATTAGAGCGTGGTCAAATGGGAATATTCCGGTGAACAGTTATGATGCCGTTTATCCAAAAGAAGATGCTCTGAATCGCATGTATACAACATTGAGCTATCAGCGTTCTATGCGTCCACAGCATTACGGTAATGGTGCCACCTCACTTATGTATTCATAGATTGAAAACTGAACTTTACATATTGAAGTTCTGCAAAATCTACGGTTTTTATACAATTCTTTATTTTTTTCTATGTTTTGCGTAACAGGAGCTAAATTCTGCTGGTCAAATATTGTCGGGAAATTATGGAATATTTCTTTTGCTAGCTTATATCTCTGACACTATTATTTTCAAATGCATTTGCAAGGGTTCTAATTTAATGGATTTGAGTAGAACTTGGGAAATTGGTATTAGTGAAATTTCAGTTTTAATTATTTTGTGGCACCTAACATTGCTTTTTATTTCCCTAAATTTCTCATCAAATCCATTAGTGATATCCAATTTTATTTTTTGCTTGTACGAAGTCATCTAATACTGACGATGTTGCTCCGAAATATTATCATTCAACTTCTTGCTTCATGGTATGTTTGTCAAACTCCATTATGAGCTTTTCTTTTTTTAATATTTCATCTTTCAACTTCATAATCTTCAAACATGGTGATGTAGAGGTCGGATAGCCTCAACAGGATTTTGTTTTTTAAATATCTCACTCGTTTGTCTAATGCTCATATATTCATTGATTATGCATGTGTTGTCAACTTCGATATCACCATGATGCTCAGGATAACAATGTATTTTCTGTGCATACTTAGTGTTCAATGTTTCCACTCCATGATAGACACATTGATCCAGAGAAATTACAACTTAAGTTTATATATTTTGTTACTTATGACAGAATGAAGCAGTAGCAGAGGAAATATGAACAGTGAGGGAGGATATTTCAAATACTGCCTTTTTTTGGATTACTTATATCGGGAGGATTTGAGCATGTAAATTTCTATGAATTCCAATTTTTTTGTCTTCGTTGTCGATTTATCAGAAAATGAAGTACTCCTAATTCATTTCTTGTAATGTACACGATTATGACAAGTGCAAACTAAAATTTCCCAATATTCACTAATGAGTGATTTCAACATTTTTCAGTTCATGATTTTACATGTATGAAATTAGAATAGTGAGCAGAATTTTGAATTTAAAATCTCTAAAATGATTTTAGCATCACAGAAATTGTAATATATTGTGAAATGCTGTACCTTCACCAGCGTGAAGGTCGTGATTCTTTGTGTGATCTTTAGAAGCACTGACGTTTGAAAAATGGATTTTCTCCTTTTTAGATTTCGTTTAAACGTCGCATTAGTTTTGCATGTTGCAAAAACTTTTGAACTTTAAGTTTCTTCTGTTACGGTGTTAGCTGGCCGTTATCGTAGAAAAAGACGAGGCATCAAAGTGGAAAGGACGAGCATCAAAACATCAAAGTGGATCAGCTTTGCTGTATTGTTTTTATTTTACTTCTTACTTCTGCCTTCATCTTCTGCGGTTTGCCTGAATAATTCTAAATCTCCCATTCATCTTTCACACTTTCCAGTTGCATGGATTATACCGTAGAAAGGTTATTAAGGAGTTTCGCATACATGATGAATCATACTGGAATAAAGAATCAAGTTTTAGAAGTTATAGTTAGAAGTTAGATATTTGAAATTGGATTTCACTCAGATTTAAAGGATTTTTATTATCCGTGGGAGGGATCTAGCGGGTAGTTTTCAATAGCCGTCGGACATTATAATACTTGTTACCAGAAAAGCTGATTATAATTTATTAGGAGATTTTAATCAATTAATTAGTAGAGCAGTATTATTGAGCGCTCTTAAAAGAGTTTCTAAATCATTTGTTTCAAAACATGCAGCTTTATTTATATCTGCGTCATTTTCGGATATGAAATTTGAATTTAAATGAAATCTTAAATTACATTTCGTCGTTGTGATCCGTGTTATTTATTTGTTTCTTTTTTTCAATGAAACAGTTTCATCGTCTTCATTTATTGGTGCAGTGGAATCTTAATAAATACAAATTTAATTTTAAATGTTAGGATTTAAGAAAATTCAAGCTATTCTATTTTTGTATTCTGTATAATAATACATATGGATTTAGCTTTCTTTCGTTTTGTTTTCGTCTACCTGAAATATTATTAAAAGTATTGGATTAACTCTGCATTCCTTGTTGAAGTATTGAATTATTATTTGATTCAGTTTTTGATTAATGAATGAATGGTTGCTTGCAAAAAAGTTGTCGTCTTGCTAATATTTGCTATCGTATCTCAGTAATGTGAAAAATAGTATAATTTCGAGATCTTTCTTTCATCTTTTGAAAAGGTTATTCCAAGGTCAATCAAATTATCAACCAGGATTTGTTAAGAAAGTCACTTACTTCGGGTTAACTTTTCGGAATCGACTTATGAAAAAATAGGAATTAGGTCCTTTATCTCAATATGAAATTTGATTGATCATTGAAAAACAATGAAGTTCTTTAAAAGATTTGAACTAATTAACGGATATCTTGGAAGGTATTATTCAATCTGCAATGCGGCAATTGTATTTGTTCTATGCAGCTATTAAAATTTATTTTTGAAAAGAAATTGCAAATCTTTTAGAGTGTAGTGTTTTAGTTTCGATACGGTAGAATTGATTTTATAATTGCATTGTCTCGGAAAATGAGAAATGCAAAGCACTGATTCAGGTATCTTTGAAAATTATTTCTAAATTGAATTAAAAAATACTGTTAAATTTTATAGTCACACAAACGAGCCATGTTTACTTTGCGAAAATTTTGGGAAGTATGGGGAATATTCTTTCGAAAAATTACACTTCAACTGAAAAACATACACGAAATAGGTGAAGCAAGAACTTATTATGAGAGATTTATTGATTTTTTGGATGGGATCAAAGTGTACAGAAATCTAGAAACTTGTAAATCGAAAAACTTGTAATTTAATTCGGAAAATGGGGTCAAATTGGATGTTCAGCGAGTCGGTATCATGCATTTCTCATTTTCAAGAAGTATCATTTTGTTGACATTCATACATGCTTTCAAATTTAACTTAGCTGTCATATTCATTCAGGCGATTGCAATCACGTCTCTACCCTCGGACGCTACGATAGAAAGACGCGAATGAATGAAGTAGGTTTCTGTTGTGCTATAGGATTTGAAAATCTAGAAAACTGTAGCGTTTTATGATCATATTCTGCATACTGCTGGAAGTTTTAGTGCAGTCGACTAGTTTGCTAGCCTGCAATGCTCAACGTCGCAATAAATTTTTGGGATAATAAGTTACTTTAAAAGAGTTACCCAAAGCTTAGCAATCCTTAATCAGAATCTGAGAATCTCTTTTTTACCTTTATTAAATTAATATGCAGAAAAAGTCGATGGAGTGAACCGGTTTAATCTGGTTTTTTGCGGAATCTAACAACATCCAACAACAGTCTCAAATCTAGCAAACCAAAAGTTGATTTCTGCTACTGAAATTTCACATTATGATCTTTCAAGAGTGTTTCTTCAAACTAATCGATATTTGCTTTGTTACATAGACATCAGGGAGTAAAAATTGCTACGTTGGTCATTTTGAGTATTTGAGTCAGATGACCGATGAATCAGCCTAATCTTTTTTTGATTTTTTTGGTGATATATATAATAGTAAAGTATGCATTCATTTTTTGAGACAGTGTGATATTGTACATAGTATGAATATTAACAGGTAAAAGAATTAACTGGAAGTCAGTTGAGGCATTCATCCGATGATAGCGATGGAACAGCTGCCATAACACAAACGCGACGTGATCCGGCAAACATTAAGAAGATTCTGCTAACACGCAAATATCGCGACACCAATGTTTACAATGGTCTCTGTTTTTGAAAATTGAACAACCGAAATTTTCAAAAAAAAATATAGTTTTTCCTTCAAAAATTTTTCGGTGATGTGATTGCAATTATACACTATTAGTAGTAGCTCCTCATGAAGGTGGAATCTAGTTTTCAGAAATTTGAGGAAACTCATACTGCACTGCAAAATCACTGCAAAGACTTGAATAAAAGAAATTTAAATTTTAAAATTTGAAAATTGTGGTTGATAGAAATTTAATGAGTGTTTTGCAGACATTGGTATTCGAGTAACAGGTGGTAAGAAACTCCCAAACGGTGAACTTGCAGCATTCATTTCAACAGTGAATCGCGGAAAGGCTCGGGAAATATTAGGCGAGATAAAAGAAGGTTAAGTTTTATCAATAATTAATTTTCGTATGAGAAACATATTGCCAGCCAAAATTGATAATAGCCAAGAATAAGGAGTTAAATAATTTCCCTATTCGTTAGATGTTGTTTCTTTCCAAATTAATTGTGGATACTTCGAAATGGATGATAGTGAGTGCGCAGCATCGTAACAGTTTCAAGCAAGGTGAGATGTGAACTGTATTAGTGAGCAGTGACTGAAATGGTCCTAGCAATAAACACCCCAATTAACATATGATTCCATGTATGACTTTTCCTAGTATTATATAGTCATACTACCCGGAGAATTAGTAGCTTATCGTTATACTTGCATTGCTTACATCGTTCATTTTAAATAAAGTGAATACTGATGTAACTTTAACATGGCTAACCTAGAAATATATTTAAATAAAAAAAAGCAAATTGGTTTCATTTCATAGCATTACGCGGCACATTTTTTGAAGATTCAACCGAAATATGTTTGATGATCTTATTTAGGAGATCGTGTTTTGGAATGGAATGGCGTCTTATTAACTGGAAAAACATTTGAGGAAGTGGAGCAAGTGATAGCCGCCAGTCGGGGTGAAATTGAAGTAGTTGTTGCCAGGTTGCTGATATTTTGTCTTCTCTTACACTTTATCAGCAATATTGTTCAAGAAGCGCTGGAAATCAGTTTTATTCTGGTTTTCTGTGTTTATTTGATAAAGCGATTTTTGATTTACAGCAATTAATTTAGTTATACATTATGCTGAAGGAAAATGAACTGCTGTACTATTAGTTGTAAGAGTTCCCGTGTCTGTAATAGTTTATTTTGGAACATCTCTGGGTGTGACTTCTTTTTTGGTTAACAACGTTTTGATTTTGAAGCAATCCGATAAGCAGTATGCAAGTGACATCGAGTGATCTTGGGAGAAGCAAAGGTACTGAAAAGCAAAGAAGCAGACGAGAACGAAAACATGGTATGGATTTTTCTTTAAAGTATTGTTGTATTTATACATAGTGCTTAACAAAGATTATTTCAAGTAATTCTTCACAGATGAAACACGGGGTCACTCACAGAAATCAGAAGCCCCACCAGTACCTGTACATCGTTGCGCAGATGGACAAACTTCTCTCTCTTCAGATTCTTATGCTGCTTTGAAACCATCATTGAACAGTAAAACAGTCTCTTTACAATCACGTAACAATGTTGCCTGCATGCAGCAGGTTAACTTAATTACATAATTACTTCATCTCTTACTATTATTTTCACCTGATTCTCATCTGGAGCAATTATGATAGAGCAGTTTATGGATAATATTTTGCATTTAAAGGATAATTTCGAGTAAGTAAAGAAGACTTGAATTAAATGGTTGCTGCAAGATTTTCTCCGTTTTAGTCATTCCTCCCATGCGGACTTTTTTAATTTAGCAGCAGGAGAGTAAAAGGCTGAAAAGTCAGAGCTTATATTTAACACAAAAGATTAGACGACAAGACAACATTCGTTACAGAATTGAGAAGCCGATAAATATGAACTCCCTTGTTAATTTATTCATTTTAGAGACAGATTGAACTGCATTCATTTAATTTTTTTTTTTGAAAATTTGTATTTTTGCTTGTATCCCTGTTTTTAGCCTGATACGTTGGGTTATTTGAATGTGGCCTTAACATACAATCGGTTAACATTAACACTTATGGTAACAGTGCTTTCGGCTAAGAGCCTCGCATGTCGTCAGTATTGCAATGAAACATTTTATCCGAATCCTTTCGTCAAAGTCTACTTGTTACCGGGAAGAAGGTAAATACTACTGCGATAACCTATTGAGTTAATTTGATGTGCTTCATGTTACTCCTTAACGTATCTTTTTTCTTAGAATACCCAAAAATCCGTAGAGAGATGCAGTCAGTTATAAAATACCTCAAATATATAATTTTCAGAGTATCTAGCAAGCGTCGAACCAAATTCGTGCCAAATACCTCAGATCCAGTATGGGATCAAACACTAGAATATACAATACCGTTTCATGAACTATACAGTCATTATCTGGAATTTACAGTGTGGGATTACGACAGATTCAATGATAACAACGCTTTAGGAAAACTTGTCATTAGTCTTTCAGGTGATTTTAATTGAATACTATGAGGGCCTGACATATTGGTTTGTGTTGTGCCTTCCATTGGTTTCTTAAACTCTTTCTGTCTGTTCTCTGTCTCTTTTTTTGATAATTTTGGCCGACTTCGAATGTTCTCTTTTAATTCTTTTTTGGAATTTATGGTAAAGAAGGACAAGTAACTAGTCTTTAATAGCAAACGCTTTTCATTTATTGATAGAAATTGTTGCTCTCAGATCCGTACGTTTTGGATGGTACTTCACGTTGGTACCTACTTCATCCAACAGACAGTGATTTAGCTGTGCTAGGCTTACCTAGTCCGGAATTCCAAACAACAATTGGTACTACAAATGGATGTGCTATGCCTCATTATAACCCAAGTACAATATTTAAGATTTATCAAAAAAGAGATACCAGAAATTCAGATATGCATCAGAATTGAAATATCAAGTCTTGCTTCTTCAAAAATACTGAAAGGTGAAGATAGTGTGATAATTTTACTTGAATTGCTGCATTGCTTCCTGCAGCAATTCTGCAGTTCAAATCCTATTTGAGAAAACAATAAATCCTGATTCATTAAAATGAACTTTCATTCAAATTATCGTTTGATTTATAAAATCTCGAAATTTTCAGCATCTTTGGATATAAATTGTCCAACCATTTGGTGATTGCACGTTACTGTCACTCGACCTGGTGGAATCTACGTATTTGGACAAGGTGAACAGTCTTCAGAAGCTTCTCAGGACTGGTGTCGTCAAAATAATATTTCCATTTCTGTGTATATTTGTATTTCTGACGAATTTTTAACGCTTTTCAGAATTCATGCTAAATTTTCCTATCCATTTGTGATATTGGAACAAAACTCAGCTTTTTTTTGTTGTTAATTTCAAATTCCGATATCTTTCTGGTATTTATTTTTGTAAATTGTATTGCGACAAAAAAGGAGGTTTTTTAATATGTAACAGCCGTCATTCTGATGGTGAGGAAAATTCAGTTTTGTTATTTGAGTGACTACGTGTAAACCAGTTTGTATTCCACTCAACGCACTGGGCATTCTATTTAGCAGTTAGTTAGTTGCATGGCTTCTCTTGCTGTGTAGTTGTTTCTTTTTATGTATGTATGATGTCGTGAGAAGCTTATTGCTATCATTTTGCACAAAGAAAATCCATGAATTAGTATAATTTATCTTTTAGATTTAGTGGTCATAGATGGGGCAGTGGCCGTATGGAAAGGCCTGAATTGTCCCTTTTAGTTAAAATTACCGTGGTTAGGATTATAATTCGTAAAAGATGAAACCAACAGAATGTATTTCTAGAATAAACGTAAAATGTATGTAAAATACCTGGTAGGATTTTTTTTATTGATTTTTATTTATCGCTGCTGTTATCAGCTCTTTCTAGTTATAGGGTATGTATCATTCATTCACTTATGTTAATGATAAAACCATACAAGCACAAGAACTGGTCAAGGAAGAACAACCAATAATCATTGATTTATCGATTCCATAGCCTCAGTAAATTAATCAAAATCGTGCGTGGATAAACGATTCACGTGGTTCCCGTAGGAACTTCTGAGCTTGAATTTTTTAGTTAACAATATATTAATTTCATTTCCAACCCATCGGTACCAGCATCGACTGTCTTGAAATTATCCATGTTTAGAAAAATTCACAAGGATACATATGCATGCTCGCATTAAATCTAAGTCTTGGAGATTCCTCGAAGATATTTTAATTTTCTCGCATTGTTACTTCCATTAAACGATGATTTATTTGTAGGCATGACTTGTATACAGGTAAAATTAAGCCAGTAAGGCACTATGAAATTATACCGATCCTTAATTTGATAATTATAGTGGGAAAATTCGCAGAACTTGCACCGTTATCATGTTCAAGACAGATTGTAACCCGAAATCCATGTGTTTGTTCTTACCGATTGGAGAACAACTGATCCGGAAAACAAATATACCTCGCTGTCATTTCTGATTGTCCATTGCAAGGGTACCCCCATCCTTTCATATCCTACTATCTCTTCGATAACATGCTTTTCTCTTTGTTACTTGTGCCAGTGCCAAATTGACTTCAATTCTTCAAACCTTTAAAATTACCTCATCACACGAATACTTTCTCTCTTTCTCATCCGCATATATCCACTAACTGGCAGTTCGCTTCATTCATTTTCATAAAGGACCTGTTTCGATATCTTATTCCGCTTTAATTAATTTTTAATTTCATACAATATTTTATGCGGCTGCTTCCGTTTCATTCTCAGAATTCATTGATTTCGAATACTGTTGTGAATTTCTTGCATGGTGGGGAGTTTTGTAATGGCACAATTGAATTGTAGTGAAGGCTTGTTTATTTGATGGGGAGGTTTATCCTTCTTCTTGACGTTATTATACAAATAATAGGAAATAACTGGATCAATCCCTGGTTGATCCTCTTCTCCGTTGTCCCGAGAATTTGGTTTGGGACGCTTTGTTGAAATATTTGGTTTGTAGATAGTAAACTGATAGTTAATAAGGAATTATTTAAACGTACAGTAAATGAAGCCATTGGTAAAAAAGGAAGGTTATTTGATGTTAATTGTTACAGTATTCCTTGAAATTAAGTTGTTAAACAAAGCATATCTTATTACATGACAGGGAAATTGTTGTAAACATTGACAAGGGATCGTGATAAACAATTTCATTACATAAGCAACAAGAGCACAAACATACATTAATTATTTAAACATTTTTACATCATGAAGTTATTTTGGTTTTCCGATAATACCGTTTCATGTTCAAAATTCACTAATCCGATACGAGAAATCATTCGGTATTGGTAATTTTCCATCCTCTCTTACGTCTAAATTTAATGACAGATTTAATAACTTCTAATGACGGGCAAAGAAAAAGCATGTCTGGTAGATACGGTGTTTAATGAACACTGGTTTGAAACTACCGAGTTTTAATTATTGATCATTTTTTGTTGCAGGGGGAATGGATGTGCTTTTCGCGTGGGAGAAAATTCAAATTTTGGATGGTGGTTTTGGCACTGAGTTGGAAGCAGCTGGTTACAATGTTGAAGTAAATTATTATGAATTCATAAATAAATTCACTTCTATTTATTTATTTATTTATAACATATTTCCGAAGAATAATACTGAAAATCTTGAAGAAATCCAAACAATTTTTTTTTGATTTTTGTCGATATGAATAAATTGCGATGTTCATCTTAGTTTTTATTGTTACTAGTTGTTTGAATTTGTGTTTGAATTTCTAGATGTGCAAGATTGAATTTATTATGAATACTGATATATCCTTTCTGCGAGATCATAAAATAATCATTGCTATTGTAAATAAAAACAGTACACGAATGTTGCAGAATAATTCACTTTGGAGCGCTGCAGCATTGTTCGACAATCCAAATCTTATACTGCAAGTACATAAACGGTATGTATTTCACACGTAAAACCAATTATCGACCTTAAGTAGTTGTGAGCATTAAAATAAGTCTTACTTTTGGTATTACTAATGTGCTGTACACAACGTTTCTTGATGGATATCACATAGTCGAGAGATGTGTTTCAGTATTGATATTTAAATGGATATTTTCACGTATTGTTCTGAATTGTGAATATACTTCAATTAATAAATAGCCGTTTAGATTCTCTCTACAAATACTTGTTGCATTACAATGATCATTTAGCTTCATCGAAGCTGGCAGCGATATCATCCTTACAAACACTTATCAAGCCTGTATAAATACAATGATGACTTCACGTGGTATGACGAAGGCTGCTGCTGAATCATCCTTGAAAGTAACTTATATGCTTTCATCTCATATTCATTCAGGCTTGTAAAGTTCATTAAAAATCTTGCACACAGATTAAATTTGAGACAGACATATGTTTTGGGTATTTTAAAATCGTCATATTTCATGTCATTAATTTAAATTATAAAATGATTAAGATGTATCTGAAAATTGTTGTTTTTTCTTAAAAGCAGAAATTGGTTTCACTGGCAGAACAGGCAACTGAAGAATGTTCAGTGCGAGAAAAAATAAAGATAGTTGGTTCAGTAGGACCATACGGTGTAATTTTTAATGATGGTTCCGAGTACAATGGGAATTACGTTGATGAGTTTGAAGGACAGGTACGAATCACATTTAAATCCAATAAAAACTTGGCAACGAGTTATGGGAGGCATGAATGTAAATGTAAAAGTAAGTAGTTAGTGCACAGTTAGGGATTAGAGTAGACGAACTAATTTTTTTAATATTGAAGGTTATGACTGATTATTACATACAACAAACCATACCACTGCTTCAAGCGGGTCTCAAAGTTATAGCTTACGAAACAGTTCCATCATACAAAGAGGCTATGGCCATATTGAAAGCAGTGGATTCTATTGATTATTCTTATCATTTCTGGATATCATTTTCCTGTAAAGTGAGTTTTAGATTCAGTAATGTTTATGAAATTAAGTTGTGTTACTTTTGTTTTTGCAACTGATTGCTCAGATTAGTTTAAACTTTCAAATATTTTAACTCATAGATTAGTCTTTGCAGAATGGTGAACAAACCAATCATAATGAGAGCTTCTGCAGAAGTGTAGAGAAGATTTCTCATCATCCCAATATTCGTGGAATAGGTATGTTCGTTTTAAATTTTCCTCGTTGAAATGATATAGAAAGTTCTTCAAGGTAAAATGTTAAATGCTGAGATTTTAATTTTGAAAAATTTAGGAATTAACTGCACATCACCAAATTACATAACACCGTTGTTGCAATGTGCCAGTACCTCAGTTAATTCGTTACCGTTTATTGTTTATCCAAATAGTGGAGAAGTATACGAGCGTGGCACGAAAAAGTTTCATTTTCTTCTTTGTAATTTTACTTAAGTTGTCTTTTATAGCGTTTTTCTCTCAAATTCTTTTCACTATTTATCACTGATAAGATTAATTCGCAAAAAAAGAGGAAACGGGACTATATTTCTTGTAGAAGGGCAATTAATTAACCAGTAACCTTTATTAAGAGATAAGACTTAAGCGGTAAATTTTAAATTATTTCTTCATTTAAATATTCTTTCAGATGGAGAAGTGGCAAATGTACCTTCCCTGACATAAGGCAGCTAATGGAGTGGAAAGATTTAGGTGTGAAAGTGGTAGGTGGTTGCTGTCGAGTTGGGGCAGAAAAAATCAAAGAGCTTAGTATATTGGTTGCAAAATTGAATTCCGAATACACCATATCCTAGTATTCCATAAAAATTGTTGAAGACATAAAAATGTCAAATACACCTACTTTTCAGGTAATTTGGCTTATTGTTAATATTATTTACAATATGCAGTTTATAATCATTATGTTTGCGAAATGCAATTTAATGAACAACAAAAAAGTTTCATGCAACTTTGTCAGAAAAACATTCGTTGGTAATTAATTGTATCGCGGAAAGATTAAGATAACGGTATCACCTCCTATGGGTCACTGCTAAATCACGCTACAATACTGCCTCTCTTCATGTCTCGTTGCCCTTGCTTTACCTTAATTATCCGTTGTTCCTGCTTTACCTTGAAGTCTTCGACATTCTTACCGCTTTACATGCTTTACATTTCTTTTTACTTCTACGAAATAGCCTTTTGAGAGCGTTCTGGTAATCCTGATTAAAAACCTAAAATTAGAAAAAAGTCATTCGTGTATAAAAGTTCTAATTGCTCTCACTTTTGCTTCTCGTCCCTGTGATAAATAATATTGCAGTTCCAGCATACCGTATAAATAATTGGATTCATTGCCGAATTGCTGTAACCCAGCCAAGTGATGAACATCCATATGTGCGGATCAATTTGACACGATGAACAGAACTGCACCACTACATACATTCTAGGAGTTTGAAGCTTTTTTTTAAACATAAACTAAAAAAAAGTTTTCAAACGGTAGTCTCCAATGGGCATAATGATCAGTTTACTGGAAAACAACATTAGAAATTGAATTTGCTCCATTATTGTAGATGTATTCCAAAAATCTTACTGCAAATCGCAAGTAGTTTCAAGGAGTATATAATTAATGAACAGTTCAAGGAGTATAATATAATTAATGAACAGTTAATATAATATTATGTAATTCGCATACTGCTAGATCAATATAGAACTGTATTAAAAAATTATAATATAAAAAATAGCTTACATAAAAAACGGCGTCCAACAAATTGCAAAACAACCTAAAATAATGCCGAGAACTTCCACACCTCGACGCTCTTTGGCAGTCGAAATACTTCTTTGATTATGTTGCAAAGTAATTCGAGTGTTCCTGTAAAAAAAAGAAAAAATTAATCAATTTTTTTTTTTAAACCAGATGATAGCCAAGCAGCAAATTAATGTGTTTCGCTCCAATTTTATCATCCATCGTTTCTTGTACTCAATGTTGCTGAAAAACAGGTCGAAATATTTCCGAGAACACTAAGTAAACCGAAGAATCCCTAATATACATTTTAGAGTGTCTGTTAAATTAGTCTTTGATGTTATTTTTGTTCAATTTTGATTTCTTTCGTTTCATGCTTAACTGTATGTTTGCTCATTCATATTCATACGTTCTATTAAAATATGTAATAATACCTTTTCGACTGTTGTCGCCTCCTCTTGTACATTACTTTCCAGTTTGATGCCGCTTTAAGAGGTTGTACCGAATGCATTTTGCTTATTTCGGTTTTCCCACATTGACAACATTTCACTGATTTCTTTCCTTTTGTGATGTTATTTTCGGATAAGATGACAGTATCACTAATTGAATAAGTAGTTTTTGTTGCTGCTTCTATCGTTTTTATAGCTCTTTTCTGATCTTGAGATTTTGCATCTTCCACAACTTCCCCTTTGTTTGATTCCTGATTTCATTAAATTCATTAAAAATGTTTAGAATAAACAAAAATTAAGTCATACATCGAAAATAATATTCCTAAACTTCAAATTTTCAGAAATTCATATAAGGTTTTTTTAATCATTATTAACGTGGCAAAATAGTACATTTTGAAAACATTCAAATATTACAGCTTCCATTCTCTGATTAATTCTACATTATGGCGGGTGTCAAGGGAAAATAGAAAATTCAAAAAAGAAAGATTGGGCAGAGTAGCTTTTGATTTGCTTCGTATGTTTTTTTAATATAAGAATATTTAGATTGTTTATAAAGAAATTTTAAGTTTCGAAGACTTAGGTGAATCTCTGAGGAGCCATGAATGATATCAACGTGTTCTAACTATGAAACTTAGAACTTAGTTCAACATCTAATCAAGTAATTACTGATATGAACATAATAAATAACAAACAATATCAGTTTGAATGATGCGCACTTCTCGAGGATTGGATTCATTTGCTGTGTCACAAACACACTCTTCACATTCCTTGCATTTTGGTTGAGCTAGTTGTTCTTTGCAAATATTCGAAGCGGAACTGCTCTCTAAAGCAAAGTTATATGAGTATTGTGAGAAAATTTTAGGCTTGGTTTAATCACTCACATACAGTCAGATTCGAAACTAAATTTGCAAGACATTCTTCCTTAAATTAATATTTCGAAATGAATTTCATAATGCTGGAAACAATACATTCGAACTTTCATATTTATGCTTAAGCTAAGGCTATGCATTCTAAATGAGATGATTGCTTATGACAGCTGAAAATGTTGTGCCAGTTTTGGTGCATAACTAAATTCAAACTTAAATATTTCATATCAAAACCACTATGAAGAGTTTTTTATTTTTACACCTTTGATAGTACACCATCTCCTTGCATATAATAAATAAAACCTCTTTCTTCATTTTTCTCCAATTCTTCAGCAAATTCATCATCTGTTGGTAAATCATGCAAAATCGTTGATTCAATATGTTTTTTAATTACCTACAAAACATTTTTCATCTCAAACATCTTATATAAATAATTTTAAATTCATGTATATGTATATATATATATTCATTTTAAAAACTCAAAAAACCTGCTGTCTGTATAATTGACGAGCGCGATGTTCAGTAAATGCCTGATAAATTTTATAATACACAAAGAACATAATAATTAGAGGTATAAAAAATGATCCGGTTGCACTGTAAATAGTATATGACGGTAAATCCAGAAATACGCATTGCCATGTACCATTCACTCGTATCATGTTACCTCGTTCCGCAACCTGCCAATTGTATAACAAAATTTTGTTAAAAAAAAACTTTAATAAATGAGATATTTTCGCTGTTAGTTAAGCAGAATAAATATGATAAAAATGTTTAACACTCATGATTATTAGTTATCAACAATAGTGCTGAAATTTGAACGGAAATTTGAAAAAATTTAAGTCTGTAATCTTTGAGGTTTCTTAAATATTTACAGTATTTCATGTTAAGTAAGGATGCAAAACTTTTTGCGAAAGATGGTTTCTCAAGATTTATTAATCCGGTTAACTTTCGTTTTTCTTATATTCTTTTGCCTCATGAATTTCGAATTCGTAGAGGATGTTAAAAATTGCAATGCTGTATTTGTGAATTCGCGATTTCCAGCCTTTAACTCAATGAGTTTATAATATGTAGTTGTATTATTGAAAATTCCATTATTAGCTCCAGCAAAATAATTTAATGCGATGTGAGATTTCACTCTGGGCGATCATTCAAAAATAGCTAAATTTCATAATGTACAGGGATATCAAGAAAATGCCTAAATAGAGTGATGTTTTCATTGTCTTAAGTCAAATTTTAATATTAAATATTATTGTTCTGAACCCCTTACCTTGGAGCTTTCATAATGTTGGATTTTGACAAAAAGTAATGAATATAAAAAAAGGGAATGTATTTTACAATAAAAAATCTGCTTGCCTGTCTCCATCCGAATAATGGAGCTAAACTAATTAAGGCGGATGAAAGCCAAACGGATAAAATCAGGAAAGCTGCTGTCCTTTTATTCCGCTTAGCCATATATGCCATCGGTGTAGTTATTGCCCAGTAACGATCTAGACCAACAATGGATAAATTCCAGATAGAAGCCGTGGAGCACAAGATATCTGCTGCAAAATTAGTCTAGTTCAAAGGAAAAGAAATTGTGTTAAGTCTTAATTAGAGAAGTTCGCTCTGAAGCATGATTTGTTAGACCGATGCTAACAATATTAGATTGATCAGGCCTTAAAATATTTATGAATTAACTTCGTATAACTTTTGAATAATTGAAAGAATTAAAATAATATGATAAGTGTAGAATGAAAATGTAGATAATGTAATCATATAAATAACAAAAAAGCGAAACGTAAAACATAACCGGAAATTTACAGTGAAATATTTTTTTCTTATAAGAGTGTTTGTATTCAAAAAATTTCATTAATTCCGGACACCAACTGAACGCATATTTTGCAACAGACATGATTGTTGAAAAAAAATTCTTGTAATTTAATTGATTTTTCTCATATCACAAATCTTGAAACTGTCATGAAAAAATAAACTTTAATTTTGCTAACTGCAACAAAAAACAAGTTTACCTGATACGAAAACGACGCAAAGTGTCGATGTGAAAATCCATTCATTTGCGATCGCATAGATCGATGATAAGGGCAATACGATGACTCCAAGGCACAAATCGCTGAAGGCAAGATTGGCAACCTGAAAATATTTCACTATGATATTAGAAGAATCATGATTTTGAATTGCAATAATTCGATTAATGAAAGAAAAAAGCGAATTAAATACCAGTAAATTAGGTACAGTTTGAAGATGTGGATTTTTATAGAGTACAACAAATACAAGTGTGTTGGCAGCAATGGTCCAAATAACCAAAAGCGCAAGTGCACCTCCCTTTAAAATATTGAGGAATAGGTCGATGTGGACGTCTTGCATGTTTCATCGTAGCATTAATCCTGCAATTAAAGTAAATTTCTTTTTTCTTCGTTACTCAATAATGCATGTTGAGAAAAACGAATTAGTAATTCATTAAGCTGAATTTTTTAGCTTTTTTGAACTTACATCTGATGTAAAATTAAGCAAAATTAATGGCAGAGAACCACAAATAATTATGTCCGAATTATAGGTATGTAAAAACTTTTCGTAATGTTTAAAATTAGAAATGAAGAAAGATAATAAATAATTCATTTTCCGGAATGATATACTTTGATATAATTTTTTTCTTCGTTAGAAAGAATTTCGTGAGAATTGCGAAACAAGCAGACTTCTCGAACTACGTTATAATCGTAATCAGAAGTTAAAACAGATCTGTAAGCTTGCGGAAACTGTGATAAGATTGTCCAGCAAATATATTTCCAGTTTCCTTATAGTGATATTTTTGGAAATAAAAAAAAAGAAATGCAAAAAGAACGACGGTTCTCTTTTATGTATTAATTTCAGTTGCTAACATACAAATATTCTTCTTTCAAAAATTCTGAATGATTGCCATTTTCCTTCCGGAACAACTTATGAACAGCTAGTTTTATAGGACTTTTGAAATTCTAATTGTGTTTTAGTTGTATGTCGTTAATCCAGAATGACCACGAAGCCACCACGAAGCCAAAAAAAAAATGAAGTAATTCCTTAATAGAACATATGTATTTTATATCATTTACGAAGTTAAATTGATTTTGGACGTGATACTACTATTACTCTATCATTTCGTCAGTAATTCAACATGTGTAAGGTTAAAAATTATGAAGACTTTTCATAGCACCTAATGAAGTTTTGTAAAAAGATCAGATGAGATCATTCAGTGGTTTGCCTCTAACACCACAAATGAATGGTAATGAAATGAATTTATTCATACTCAGACCTGTGACAAATATGCTGATAATTTTGTATATTACTAACATGGTCATGTTCCTATTGCTTTACCCGTCGATCGGTTTTGCCTACTAGTTTGTCCTACAACAACCTTTTAAATGGACTGTTCTCGAAATGCAATTAATATAAAAATAGAATAGAGGAAGAAGGAACTTTATGCTGCTATCAAATACGACATAATGAAATTTCTTTTCTGCTTATTAATCTGATGCATTAGAATTTTCATACAACCATTTTTTTAATAAAAGTAAAGATTCGGCTTTAAAGTTAAACACTAAAGGTGACGACAATTTGCATTTTACAAATAAGTTAGTACTATAAATTAGCATGAGATGAACGGATTGCTGACGAAAAAGCCAACTTTTCAAATTGCAGCACTTTGATAATTGTTGAAGTTGGATACTAAGTGTAAATATGCCTGCTGTTGCATTATTGATATTTTTAAGAAAATAATAGACGAGAGAAATGATTTCTCTCACTGTTCCATCCTCTTAGTAATGAGGTTGATATAAATCTGGTTCTCAGGATTATTTATCTAAAGCGGTATATACAACAGTAAATAAGAACAATAAAGATACTGTCTCTTTTGCTTTATTTCTCTCTCTTTCTTCCTTTCATCACTGGCTTTTTCATATTTTTCCATTACCTTTTCTTAGCTTTCTAGGTAAAAAGCCTAAGCAGCTAAGCTTTAAAAATCTTTGATTGGTGGATGTGCAAATAACATTTTTTTCTTTTGCTGTTAAAAAATTGCACTTCTCTCAGCTAATTATTATATGAGGAGTGCAGAGTAGTTGTCCTCGAAGTAATTGTACCCAATCCATTTTCCGTAATCGATCTGCTCTGCTGTCTCATTCATTGAAAATTTTATTTTAATAACATATAACCTGTTCATTTTAATTTGCTTAACTTCCTTTTTTGCTTAGTTGCTTAAAAACTTCCTTTTTTTGTTTTGTTGATTGAATGGGAAAGTATGTGTACCAACAACCAATACAGGGGCATGAATCATGGAGATTGCTAAATGATTCTCACTAAATATGATATATGATATATGACTTTCAAAAAATTTCAACAAGTTTTGAAAACTATATTGAAAAATAAAATATGAAAATGGTAAGAAGTATATTTACAAATTCATGAATGTGTGTGTATGTGTATGTGTATGTGTATGTGTGTGTGTGTATATATATTAAGAAGAGATGAAATACAAAATTCAGTGAAATTTCATTTAGCTCAATTTCTGCTAGGAAAAAATGCTGAGAGTGACGTATATATAAATATATTCATTACCAAACCAAAATATGAAGAGAGATACGCAATCCTTCCTTCAATCTCTCTTAGTTCTCCCATCCTATCTTGCAATCTTCATCACTTATCCTTTCATGTGCAAAATGAAATTATCCAACAAATGGGGATAAATATATCTGTGACCAAAAAAAGCTTACAAAGCTTTCTAGCTTATAAAATAAATCCTGCTAGACTTTTTTCATTTCAATACAGAATACAATACAAGAAATCTGTCTACTACTTAATATTCTACAAAAATTCTTTATAGGATTTTCTATTTTTTTGGTTTGCAAAAAGACCATTTAAAATAAATATATTTTAAGAATAGAGATGTAATTGGATCAATTCTTAGTTGTGAATTCATAAATACTTCTGAAATAATATTTTAACAGGAAATCATCGTACTACAACTGTTACACTTTTTCTAATCATTTTTCAACTTAAAATACAAATTCGAACAACAAACTAACAATTGAAAAAAAGCGAAAACTTTCACATATTAAAAGACTTTCTTTTTTGGTTATAAATATAGTTTATAGAAAGATGTGTTGAAAAAATATTAAAACTGACTCCAAAAAAGTACCGAATTTCAAATTGAAAAGAAAAAACAATTATTGTTAAAGCTTTTATCCAACAAATGGGGATAAATATATCTGTGACCAAAAAAGAATATATTATAAGCGTTAATTGTTATAAGTTGGGTATATAAATAAAATGAAAAGTTTACCTGAAATGAATGTTAGCATGAGTAATATACATATATAATTATAAATATATTTATAGAAATATTCCATTGCAGTAAACTTTTTACTTTTTATATACAAATATGTATCCACAATAGTTCTTCAACTTTGTCTAATTAATGTCCTTTCCGTGATATTTTCTTTTCGCAAGCTTTTGTGTATTCTACTTCCGCTTCAGTGATTGTCGCATTTTCAATAGCATTTAATTACGTCTATATTGGAAGCTCTATATTTTTATTTGGGCCCAGTGATAGAATACTGCAAAAAGTACGATGTTTCCTTCGAAAGCTAGGCAAATTTTGGGAGGAAAAGAGAGATTTGTGATCTGTTTTTCTGTTTATAATTTAAGCTGGCTATAATTTTCAATCAAAAATTAGGATTTGATGCAAAACTGGGATGACAATGCGAAAACAAAGATATTAAAAAGTTTTCAAAGGGCATAAAATTGTGTTATATGGATGTATCGACCGTCGAAATTCGCTTGAAGAATTATTCGCTAGGTGCTAGTGAAATGTTGATACTTAATATATGAACATACCGATTGAGACAGACTTTATCGCAGTCATTTGTAGTTTAGATCTAAAAATTTGACGAAATTTTTTGAAAAATATTGCATTGTTATCATTAAAAATTGAGGTTCCTCAACACTTTACATATCAGATATAATCATCAACCAATCTGATTCTGAATAAAACATTAAATTTTATCACTGAATCTAATTTAATCATTTTTTTTTTCCTACTTATTTCTTTTTTCCTATTCTGTCAGAAGTTAAAATGAACTTATCGCGAACTGTTGATTAAAAAGGGAATAGAAGGTGAAGATCTATGCTTATCGCGAACTATTGATTAAAAAGGGAATAGAAGGTGAAGATCTATGCTTATCGACCGTTTTACTATCAGCAAATAATTTCACTGATCTATGCTCATGAATAATTGGTACGAAATTGAATCATTCCAGTTAAATAATTCAAACAAAAGGAAAAAGGAAAAGAATAATCACTTTGTAGGACGGAGATGAATTACTGTAATAGATAAAGAGTGAGTCGAAAACATTTCTCTTCTATTTTATGAGCAAAAAAAGGATAACTAAATTTATGATATGACATTTGACCTCTAACATATCTGTAATATATACAAAAAAATACACGTATGAATGAATATATATTTAGACTTAGACTTAGGATATTTATATAGTATAATAGATATTTAAAATCATAGTACACATTAAGAATGGTAACAAATAGAAGTGGAGAAAAGTGACGAGAAATTTATTGGATACGACGTTGGCATTTCTCTTAGGCAAAATTGCTTGAACACGTCGATTCCAAGAATTTCCGGCGGCGAAACTAATTCCTTGTAAGCGTATCTCACCGTAGCTCGTTCTTCTTCTTTTCCCTCCTCCTCTTTCCTTTTTCTCCCTGAATCTCATTTTCCTTCCTTTTTCCTTTTTTCTTTATATTACAAAGACTAAGAAATTAATAAAATTTCATTTTCAAAGAAAAACCAAAAAAGTTTGTAAAATCATAAGAAATGAATAAGTTTTTAAGATAGCACTAATTAATGATTTTTAAGATAGTATTAAATTAATGCTTTGACATTGATGAAAAAGCAACAAATGCTATTCAAGCAAAATAATATGTCAAAACTCGTGAAATCAATAAAATATTTTTTTTAGCTCTTTTTTTTCTCATTTTTCTAATATTTAAAAAATTCTTTAGCATTCAACAAGAAAGATGAACATACTACAAAAAGCTTCTAATAATGATTAATGAAAATTTAAATTTCATTTCATTCAGTTTCTGCGAAATATTTATTACGAGTAAAGTGAACAGAGTTAAACAAAAGCAAACATAATGCTCAATAATTAAAACATTCCACATTCATCATTATTGATATCTTATCGAGATTAGATGAGTGATACAGAGTGATCGTGCATACAATTATCATCTACGTTAGCTTAAATTTTATAAAAGAACAAAAACTATGTTTTTCTTTTCTCTTTTCTGAAGTATGTTGTATATGGTCTTTATATAACTTCCCTATATTATCACCTTAAAAGATGTACTCTAAATTCTTTCTTTTATTTCACTTCTTTTTTTCCATTGAATATTCAATTCTGTATAATTTCAGGAAAGAAGGAAGAAAAGGATGAGAGAAGGATATCCTTATTCTTTATATTCTGTTTAAAAATTAATCTTCGGTTTGTAAAAATTTCTCTTTCTATACAGCATCAACTTTTCTTGAAATTTTCGAACTTATCTTCATAAATCAAGTTTGCTGTTTCCATAAATGAAACATAAATGATCAATTGAATATCCGTTAGCGAGACCAAAAAATTTCATATTGTTGCCTAAAAAGTTTCATATTGACATGAAAATAGTGCAAACTTTCTGACGCAAACTTTCTATTACCGGAAGTCACAGTTGACAAAAGGAAGAAGAGGGGAATGGGAGTGTTGGATTGCGTTATAACGTGTCTACTTGAGGTATGTGTCCATCCTGAATGGAAAGCAGCTGCTTGGAGAAGAGAGTGATATTCCAAAGTGTTCCAGCATTTGACTTTCGTAAGTGTGCGAGGTTGGGATCAATATTGATGAGTCTGCGTGCGTTAACATTTCAGAGTGATTACGTGGATTGTTCAAGGGTTTAACAGTGTGATTTGCTACATTTTCGCAAATGACTGTATATTTGGCCGTGGATTCATCTTTATCAATGCGATTACCTATTGACGACAATAGTGAAATGTCGAGGCGGGTGATTGCATGTCAGCTAGCTTTACAAACTCTCCAAAAAGTTCAGGCCTTGGATATGGACCGTAAGATTAGATTGGTCTGTTTAGTTTATTCCGGAATTCATTCTAAGTTGGATTCTTTTAAATTTATTGTAAATTTTTTGAAGTTGCTCATGTTTCATAAAGATCAATCTTCATGGGTTTAACGACGACAAAGGGAATGTCATTGGCTGGTTTTATCGTCTTTGCACTATACACTGTGCCAGATACGGACGACTGGACTCGAAGTTATCCTGGAAGAGTTAGAAATTGAGAGGAAATTGAATGAATAAAAAAAACATGGAGCAGTTGCATTTCAGGTTGATTTCTCACACAATTCAAAAATTATATCATGCGACATTCGAAACATTGAAGATGCGGAAAAAAATTTGAATTGGTTTGTGTTTTCCTTAGGTTTTACACGAAGCTGAACGGCTGTTTCTTGTATTTGTCCGGGTTGAAAATTTGTGTTGGAATTCTAAAGCTCTTTGTTAGCTTCGAGCGAGATGAAAACATGTAGAGTTCACTAAATTACTTAAGCTCTAAACTAACATGAAATCCTCCTGTTCATCGATAGGCACATATTTTTGAGTTTCTTAAGCTTGTTTATGAATTGGAGATTATGTACTAATTTCAGAAATTTGATAAGAATCTTGCAGCATAGGTGTATCAGCTTCAGCTGATCTAATCTCATTGTTCTTATTGATAAAAATGGAAAATGACGATGAAACTAGCATCCTTCTAGTGTTCACGGATGCATGTACTTTCACTCCGGTAGGTAAGCTTTTTTATTCGTATTTATGAGATTTGATAATTTAAGTACTTTTGTTTTATACGAGTTTCCAATGGCCGAGATTCCTTCCCATAATTTAAGGAGGAGGTGAACTTGACACATCTGCCGAATTGTACGGTCAAATTTGTTTGCGTTCTGGATGAAGTCTTAACGGACGAGAATCAGATTGCTCGACTGTGGGCTATTTCATGTACGTTTAAATGGTCGTTGTGCTTTTTTTCACTCATTCCTACTATGTTTTACCAATATTATTATTGTCATAACATCAAAGTTGTTTTAGTGCAGACGGAAGGTTTCAAAGAAGAATTTGAGCTTGAAGACAGCCTACCCTGGATGCCGTATTTCATGTCAGATTACGACACCATAGACAGTTATAGTGATGCTCTAGCAAAAGATTTATGTCCTGTACCAACATTTTTGTTAAAATGTGGCTTATTAAGAGCATATTTTAAGGTATGTTATTTGACTCGAAGATTATTCTGACAGCTGAAAATTCCATCTTTCTATTCGAAAATCTAGGCAGTAATTCGTATCTGCTATTGATTTTAATCAGTCGTTTCAAATTTTAGACTCTACCATCAGTAGATAACGATGATTGGAATACGGTTGTTGAAGTAATTGGTTTCGTTCCTGTAAATTATCTGACGAATATGCCAACCACTCGACATCATTTTCTTATCTCACAGCTGGGTATGTTTTTATATCAATTTTTACTTATCATTCCGCGAGTTCTTGGAAAATCTTCCAGACTTATCATTTCAGATAGTGAAGATGTTCTAAATTTGTTGTGTTCTGCACTACGCTTAGAGGAAACCGTAGCGATTTGTCGCTTGAATAATTTATATGGCGCGTTATGTCATATTAGGTAATTTTTGAGTAATTTTTTGTATTGATTTTTGAAGCAACTGACTAAAAATATTAGTATGCATCTGTGCCAAAATAAATGATTCCCTTGATAGTAAAACTTGGTTTTTGGAAACTGTTTTGTTTTAGTGCGAAGGAAGAAGACCCTTCAGTTTGTCGACTTTCAATTGTATTATTTCCACCTGGTCCAGTGCCCGTTTCCTGGTTGCCTCCATTTACTACAATGTCTTCACAGGTTGCTTCGCCAATTTTGTTAAATTTCTTTATAAAGAAATTTTATTTTGTAACACTTTTCACCTTTCTCGCCATTACTGTCTAAAAGGAATTGTTGCTTCAATTGATACATATTTATAACGTTACAGAGCGTTGTTGATGCTGAAAATGAAGAGCAGTTGTTCTGTATCACGAATGATGGCCTTTCTAGGCCTTCATATTCTTCAACACAAAGGACTTGTTGGTATGAGGTTCACGGATTACAAAGTGATGTCCAGAAAATTGCTCGGTTACTGAAGAAGATTCCCGACAGGACATTCTTATTTTATTCGGTGCCAGCATTTTTGTAGGCATGACATTTTATCGAAAATACTTTGTTTTTCGTAATTCTTTTCTTAATTGTCATTTTATATATTTTCAGGAATTAAATAGGATACATGCTTATTGTTGTGCCATCGGTGCTGAAGATGTTTTGGAAAAATTAATCCAGGTTTTGGATGAAGAGAGTTCCGCGCAATCACCGTTGATTATCAAACATTCCTCGTATGCAAACGAAAAACTGAGGTGATTCTTACATTTTCAATTTTTTGTGAACTATCTCACTAATGACGTGTAAATTTAACCGATGAAATTGGAAGTTCAAATAAATGAAGTGATAAAGTAAGAAACAATGCAGCAACTGGATGCGACCGTTAAATAAATAGGTTCTACAATCACCTCTTTATCCACAATGGATCTGAATTTCAGTTGTCTGAGATATTTTTTGCTGAACCCGTTCGATTTCAGGATGTACGGTTTGAAGAATTCAACAGAAATCCAACCCTTACAGTGAAACATAATAGAAATGACATAGTGATATTTATGCTTTTGTATTTTTTTTATAATTTTTGTCATTGTGATTGTCAGATAGTTCTGCTTATGAGCAATCTCGTCCTTATTTATTTATTCATTTTTTTCTTTCTCTTTAAGAGATGCTATTTTATGATTAAAATGATTGTGTGTGAAAAAACTCTGCTTCAGAAAATTATTGTATTTATGTTGGTTTTATTTAATTTATTTGTATCTCTTGTTAATTATGGTTTGGATAGTTTTACCGGATATCGAAATTTCGGGTATTGATTAAATCATGAATTGTTGAGCGAATGAAAAAGAGTATCATTAATGTTTATTTGGTTTTGTAATGTTTTATTACATTTTAAAAGTACGTATCGCTTAGCTGCTGGGTAGTTGTTTCACAGTTTTATTTTAGTATATTTATTTTTGTAGTTTTTACTACATTTATCTAAATGAAATGATTAAAATGTGAGGAGATTTTATGTGAGCTTTAATTAGCTTTAATAAAATCAGCGAAAACATACACTAATTCATTTTTACACTTTGTTTCAATTCGAATATATGTACAACATATCACAGGGCTTTTCAATTTAAAATGGTCTGTGTCTGCTCTGTATTAGCAAACATTACTCTGCTATCAAGAATAAGGAAATTTGGATTTACTCTTGATACATGTTTGGTCCTAAGCCAAAGTACCACTAAATGTAGAATGTATTCGGGAAAAGAATTGTATTGGGACTGAATCGGTGGTGCTAACGTTCGAAGGGTTTTTTCGTGCTTGTTACCTAATTTCAATATCTGTTGTCGTTGAGTCCATTACCAAGTGTTTCGTTACATTTTCAGAGTCCTGTTTGTAATTTGGCAAGTTGAGCAGCTTGTTACATGTATTATATTATTCTCAGGCATCTTATTATTAAAAGGATCAAGAGTGGTGGGAGTTATACACAGTGGGAAGGTGGTGACTGTTATTTATTGATGAATTAGTGACGTTGAGCAATGATTAAATGAAATTATATGTCACTCATAACTCATGTAATATCGAACCAGTCATATTGCTGATGACCCTGTTGTGTTGGCAGATTTATTTTCATGATCTGTTCCAAACTAATTCTTCTCGCCACTGCCAAAAATAATAGGTGGAGTTGAACTTATGAAATAAAGACTTCGGCAAAATCAAGCTGAAATGTTGGTTATCATGATCACAAATCTCTATTTTGGTGTAATTGTGTATGCAGGAAGTTTTGGTTGCTGTCCTACATATTTCAAAACACATGCATAACGACAATGTTTCGAATTTTAAACCATTTTCAGATGCCACCACTGCAGTTATTGCGAGTGCTTAGGATATTAAAAAGGTAATGTCCCATGGAATGTTGAAATTGTTTGCTGCTGCCGCGTTTGTTGTCTTTATTATCATTCTGTTGTTATTTTCCGTTTTACCGAATTCGACAGAAGCAGTTGGTAAATTTTATATTAGTCGCTCCTGACCTTCTCTATAACTTGAAATTGTTTAGATGTGTTGAGGTCATTTGAATTTCATGATATTACAGTTGTTATCAATTAAAGGAATTTAAATCTAATATTCTTTGGAAGTTTCTGTGGATTATTTCATTACAGATGGCGAAAATCACATAGAATGGAGTTATTCAATAGTAATAGATGCCGGTTCCACAGGATCCCGTCTTTTTCTCTATAAGTACCGCTCTATAGATGATCGGGAATTGATCGATGTAAAACCAGTTCTGGATAAATTGTCGTTACGCCCTGTTGTGAAAAAAATCACTCCCGGATTGTCTTCGTTTCGGGATAAACCTGAGGATGCTTCTGGTACTTCACATGTTTTTTAGAATTTGCCTTTTATTCTGTATTAATACCAATAAGAAGTAATCAAATTTTCCAAATATGCTTGCAAAGCAACACAGATGAAGGAAAGATTGGAAATGGAAATGATGGATTTTTCGATTCCTTGCAATTTTTAGTTAGAGAAATCCTTTGAAATAAATTTCTTCGGTTATATTATTTTCAGAGTATATTAAGCCTCTTCTGGATTATGCAGTTGCGTTTATTCCACTAAATAAGCATTCGTATACAACCCTCTTCATATTCGCAACAGCTGGAATGCGTTTACTTCCCATAGAGTACTGAATTTAATTTCTTGTAATATGGCAAAAGAATTCACATAAAATCGGTACAGAGGGCAGGAGATTTAGTTTGGGTCTTTATTGATTCATTTTGGTTTCAATGCACTGTGATAGTTCTTATAAACAAACTTATTCTAATTTGCAATATATTTTTTGCAGAGAACAAAACAAGCTTTTGCGAAATCTACACCAAAATCTGCCTTTTCAAACAAGCGTGCAAATCATTCCAGATTATATTAAGGTTATCGAAGGAAAATGGGAAGGGATTTATTCATGGATTGCTATAAATTATATTCTTGGCCGGTTAGTCGGTTTTCCTTCACTCCTTATGAGGATAGTTTTTTTGTTTAATTGTTATACTCGAGCTGTTCTGTACAGATATTTGTTATTACAGAAATCTCTTTAGGTTTACTCGTAATAGAACAGAATTTTCGCGACAGCCTACGGTGGGTATAATAGATATGGGTGGCGCATCGGTACAAATTGCGGTTGAGTTAAATTTAACAAATTTCAATAATGAATCTGTGGAAAACATCAACTTGGGCTGCAAGGATAATGAGCAGACATACAGGTTTTTTTCATGATTTTGTAGTATGTTCGTTTTAATTTATTTCTCAACACACTACTTTCATAAAATTGAATTGACATTTTTTAGCTACCGACTCTTTGTGACAACATTTCTCGGTTATGGCGTGAATGAGGCTCTTCGAAGATATGAACAGAAATTATACGACGATCTAGTCATAGAAAATACTAACAAATCTTATATACGAGATCCTTGTTTGCCAGTCAATTTATTGAAAACGGTGAAAAGTAAAGATGGTTCACAATTTATTCGAAAGGTTAGTTTTCTTTTAGTTTGGATTCAGTTACTTTATTTTATTAGGTTGAGATAAAAGTAACGCTGATCAATCTGCTACTTGGATGTTGATTTCGCCGGAATTCAGAGGATTGTGTAAGCAGCTGACCAGTAAAGAATGAGCATTTTTGAGCAATCCGCTCTTGGGAGTGCTTTGGAGCTTCTTTGTCCGACTCCGATATGATCGTCGCCAGTTGTCTCATACAATTTACTTTCCATCCCACATAACCGTTGTTGTCGCGTCCAGTAAGAGAAAGAAGCAGTTGATAACAACGATCTTTTTTTGTTTCAATCACATCGGAAGGAACTCATTAAGCTTTTTTCACCTTTCGAATTTGTTTCAAATGGCAAGCGGCCGTACTTTTTTTTAAACCGATGTTCTTCATTAACTTCTTGTGCAGTTGTGAGAGGATCAGCTTCGACTGGTTATTGTCAACTTTTGAAGACGAAAATTTTATTAACTTTTGATTGTCGCAAAAATTGTTTGGAGGAATACTGCATTGTACATTCACTAGCAGTTCTTGGGCCAAATACGTTGTTGATTATCCAAATACGTTGTTGATAAATAGAAAATCAACAACAAATCATTAGCAAAAGAACTGAAAGCAAGAAGTGCACATCAAAATGATATATAATATAGCTACGTTTCTTTAAGGACGGTCCTAATCTGAAATAGCAGATTCAAATAATATAAAAACTGCTTTTACTTTTACATTATTCTAATAGCTTGCGTGCCTTAAATATGCGAAATCTCTTTTACCTCATTTTATATTATCAGTTTTATCGCAAAAGATTTCAATTTTTCCAGGGTGTTGGAGATTGGGACACTTGTATAAAGAATGTAACGTCTTTATTAATGGCAACAGTGGTAAATTCGAATTGTTACACAGAAAAGTGCTTGTTTGGGCTAGTTCGTTCCCCTCCGATTTCTCTATCAGAAATTGAACTATATGGCTTCAGTGAGTATTGGTTTTCGCTGGAAAATGTCTTATCCGTGGGAGGGAATTATGATTTCAGTAAAACGGCATCGAGAGCACGTCAGTTTTGTCATATGAAATGGTCGACAATACAGGTTAGTTTGTTATACCGATGTAGTGAATTGCAGAAATATTTTTATTCCATTCATGCCGTAATTTCTTAAGTTTATAATTCCTGAGTCGTTGAAGCGTTGATTTGATTTTCAGATTTCTTAAGCATGGCAGACAAAGCTTTTAAACCTTTATTTGCTACTTTCATTTTGTCCAAAGTTCATTTTGTTCTAAAAACGGCTGGCAAAGGTTACTGTCTTTAGAAAAAGTAAAAAATTTTATGCTTCTACATTGTACATATAAAAAGAAAAATTGTGATGGATACAATGCTGGCATACTTCAGATGCAATATCGGAATAATGTCTATCCGAAGGCGGATGAAGATCGACTACGATCACAGTGTTTTAAATCAGCTTGGATAACAGCTGTTCTTCATGAAGGTTTTTCCGTTAGTAAAACCCACAATCGCTTTCAATCTGCTTTTAATGTCAATGGGCAAGAAGCTCACTGGGCGTTGGGAGCCCTATTATATCATATAAGGTTCGTTATTTCTTGATTTCACAGTTAGTTGTTTATTGATTCTTGATAGTTTTTGAGGGATTTAAAACTGACACTGTGGAGCATGAATAGTTTTTGTAAGGAGAGGAAAGTTTTAAAATTGTATTTGAAATGGAACAATTTTTAGGCCCTATTCTTGCTTATGATGAGAATTTTATTGGATGTTTTTGTGAAGTCGTGGACTACTTTTTTTATTCATACACATTTCGCCATTACTTTAAAAATTTATTGTTATAGATACTTTCCACTTTGTGAAACTGTACTGTGTAAGCCGCAACATCCGGATTACCGAACAGTTAGTAAGCGAATCCTTATATTTTGGATTACATCGCTTATTTTATTTGTTGTTATTGTATTGTGGGTGTTATATAAAGCCGGTAAAAAGCGATATTTGTGGCGTGTTATATAAGATTGGTAGAAAGCGATATATATTGATCTGTCCATGTGGAGATGTATGTCGTTATTGTTGTCACAGGATTAGCTTTACATTCAGCCTTAATTGTGTTTATGTAATCGGTAATTCCAGTGGAATAGATTTTTGTTATTAATCCTTCCCTTCAAACTTACACATCAGTGGTGGGGGAAATGAAGTCTTCAGGGGAACAGCGAGTAAAAAAATTCACAGTGATTTTTAGTGATACTGGTTTTATCGCTTTTAGTATTGTTTGCTGTTGCATTTTCCTCAGTGTCTTTTCTGCAGAATGGATGCTTAGGTTCTGGTTTTTCCAGCTTGATGTTAATAATGTCGAACTTGTTAGCTCACTTTTATGCGCTAATATAATTTTAAATTTCAGTCTGCTGAAAAATGGATATGGATTAGGTGATCATTGTTAAAATTATTAAATGATTCTTCATTCTCTACATTACAATTGCACCAGTTTCCGTTCCTTCGTTTTAGGTTGGGAAATAAAATGCAAATTTCATTCACCTGTTCACCAAACATTAGTAAAAATGACCAAAAAAAGGTAATAGTTTGTCGTCGTAACTTTTATGAGATAGTGGGTTCATGGCTTCAACTGTTGCTACAGTCTTTTCTTAAATTAACGCCGAAGTACTGTAATTGTAAAAAACCCTACTAGATTTATCTCCAATGTAATGTCGTTATCACTATTGCGTAGTGTTTTTCAACCACTTTTTTTCGAAAACAAGTTGAATGTGTTGTAAAACTTGTCCCAAGGAAAAGACCACATGATTTAGATTAATTTCATATGCTTCCGAATCACACACTTCTGAAACTGTAATTCTTTCATTACTTTTATTCTTCTATCTTCCACAAAAATGTTCCATGGGCTTATGATTTCAATACTGCATCGAAAAATATGGAGCTGCACTAAAATCCTGTTCATTTTAGTACAGCTCTATATTTTTCGACGTAGTACGTGAAATTTTCAAGCCCAATAAAATGTCGGAACTACAATTCAGTAATGGAAATACTGGGGTGATCCTTTGCAGGCATTTTAGCTTAAATTTTATTTCGTCAATGCAGCATATAATATATACAGTGCTCAAAAATGCGGGGCGAAAAGCCAGTGATAAACGATCAGCAAAATGGATAGGGAAAAATGATCCTGCCGCTCACATTTCAGATTAAAAAAGGAATGAATTTGATTATGCTAAAGAACGAATCCTTAGAGGGAAAAGATTGATTTTGAAAATGTCTACAATACTATATAAGGTGGTGCGAAATTGACATCAGTAGTCGTTGAAGATTCCATGAGGTAAAAATAAACGGCGTTCGAAATAAACGAGAAATAAGCGTAGAAATAGGAAATAAGCGTAGAAATAGTTTTAAGTAAATTAAATGGAGCTATGTTCAGAACTTTGTTTTATTATTCGAGAATGGAAGCGCCTATCCCAACATAAAACCTAAGAAAAAAGGAATAAATGGCACTTAGAAAAGATATGCAATGCGTATAGTCATATTTTATTTCTTAAGCATAAAAAGAATTATATGTACATTTTTTTAAGCACAAAAAAATATTTGTACGAGAGGGGGATAAATTAACAGAATGTAGATTTGCAGCAGAGTTCGTTGTTTTTGTGTTCAAACTTGGTCCATTTCAAGTTTAAAACAATCACGCTGTGATAAAAAATATCACTGAGAAAAACTGGAATAAAGATGTCATGGTATTGATAGTTTTGCGTAGCTTAAAAATATGCTCAGAGGTACTTTGTAACGAATGAAGAGTGTACCAAAGAGATTTAAATTGAAATGTTAGTTTTAAATTTTTTTTTTAAAACATCAGTTAATGAAGAGAGACAAACGGGATTCACAGATGTATATAATCGATGCAAGAAAATTGGTTCATTAGCAGAAATATCGATTATTTCTGATTTAAGCTTGCAGATGAAAATGCTCAGAAATCCCATTTCAATCTTTTGGAATTTCCATTTTTAAAAATTGTGTGATTCTTCATTTACCAAAACAAAAAAACAACTCATGCAAAGTAATGCTGTTCATATGCATTCATTAAAAATTCTGCTTTGAATTAACATTGATAGTTTTGAGCCAGAAAAGAACGTCTCCAAATTGGTCACTTTTTATGAAAGTATAAACAATATCATTGAAAAACAGGCGCTGTTGGTTGTGAGAGCGAGAAGCGTCGTGGACGATCCGCTTCTTCCATTGAGCTAAAAAAAGATGAAAAGATATAAAAGCAATGAACAAACGTTCAAAAATGAAAATGACAGTTAAATTACTGAGAGATTTGAATTCAGTTGCATATACATTATGATATCTATCATGTTTTCTTCTCTGTAATTTGAAAGTTCGCCTATTCCAGTCTTATTTTTTGATAGCATAAAGATTCTGTAAACCTGCTTAGTGTACGCTGTCGCTCCATTCCAGGTATAGCTACACCGGATAACACACCACAACCTTTACATAACAAAATTAATGAACGTGCCAGTTTTTCGGGCTAAAAATTTAAGACATTCAGATGGGTAGAAAATCATTTAATTGTAAAATATTCATATATGATTTTCATTAAATTCAAACTCATAAAGAACAAACCGCTTCCTCCATCACATCACTAACATTATCCACAACCAACAGTGTTGTTTTTCGCTTATTCATTGATTTATGTGTAGTGTAAACAGTATGCAAATGTGATGCCCTTGCACCAGTAACCAATAGTGCATCCATACTGTAAATGTTCCCTTTACTAATTAAAAACTATAAACTTACAAACTTCATACCAGATATGTTCCGAATGCAAAATTCATTCTTAATCAGCTATTTGGATAAAATATTGCAATAAAGCCAGTTGAGAAAAAAGCCTGTTTAAATCAAAAACTTAAGCGATACGACATTCATTTTTAATTTTTTTTTTTTTGGTAGGAAATGCCTAAATATTCAGTGAATTTTGCTACCCATTTATTTGATGAAGAAAATATAAACTAACTTGTCCAACTTAGTGCCAATGAAAGATGATATGTCACTCCTCTTCGAAAAACTAAAAAGATATTTGCTAAGATTCTTCGGATTTAAGCAATTCTTCAACTCTTCAATATATGCCTGCTTTTCTCGTTTGTCGGTCTAGAATACGAGATATGTTAATCGAAATAGTTTTCAAGCAACCAGTGAAAAAGGCATTATATTTCATTCATTCCACCATAGATATTTTGAAATAAAAAAAATTGAAGCTTACAGATCCAAACTTGTGCATTGTGAGGTAGTCCCATGCACCTTGTGACATAACACCTGACTCAAGCCGCATGTTGATAAGCTGTAATGATTAGGAAAACAAGTCATAATAAATTATAAACAAGTTAGAGCTAAAAAGTGCACTTTATTATGAGATCCTTCACAATCAAATTCGATATTTTTTAATTCGTAATAAATTCGAATTTTTAATAAATGAAAGACCCCAATTCTTATAAAAAGATAGTTTCTTCAACAAACTTTGTCCTTGCAATATTCAATAATTCCGGCAGTAGTTGAAGTACAGTGCACCAAACAAATTCCCATAATTCGATTTGGAGAAGACATCTGTAAACTTATATTGAATTATTACATTCAGGTCAGCAGTTCACTGTAATGCATTTATAACATGAAACAAGTTAATTATGCCACCAACTTCTGCCTAAGTGACCTGACCTTGACAAATGATTTTCTCCATCTGTCAATCGAATAAATTTAAGGAAAAACATGATAAATTAGTTCTCAAAAGAGTATAAGAATAATATATGATCTTATGCAGTTCATCTGAATATAAAAAAGAATTACGCAATAAGAAAGAAAAGTAGGTGCAATAAACTTACAGCAAAACGGCAAATAATATTTGCACCAGCTCCTTCACCAAATGCAATGCATGTTTTCACATCCAATTTGTCGAGTATACAAACAAGATCTTCACCAAGTTGATCAAGTGTTGGAAAACTGGAAGTAATAACTTAATTACTTTAAAATTCAAATGATTGCAATAAAGATATCTGATTTTATAATTACTTCAATATGGTTTCCACGAATACTTTCAATAATTGCCTCCCTCATTTATCTCTTTAGTTTAATTAGAAAATGGAAATTAAAAATGAAAAAAAAACTCAACTAAGCAAATGAACCAAGAATTTCTGTTTCAAACACCATATTTAAACAAAGTTCACGACAATGTTTAATTAAGTTCCCAGTTTCTTATCAAATTTTTTATCATAACAATATGTATGCAAGCCTCCATAAAGTGCAACAATATTTATTTTATTAACTTCAGTAGGAACTTCATTGTATCGATTACATAGTTGTTAGATTTTAATTCAAGTAAATAAAATAATAGGATTAACTACTAACTCTCCCTCAAAATCTGGTGCATTGTCTTCCTGGCCAGGTATGCAAACATGCAGAAAAATTGACTTCGCTTTCACATCAGCCATTGACGGATGGTTGCAAAAGTGCATAAAACTTTTATCTGCAAACGAAATTTCAAAAAAAAAAAAGACTATCATGATTTCTTACAACAGGAGCACACATTAGTAAACATACAAACTTATGTATATATTAGTTCAACTTACGATGCGCTAAAATTTTCAACACAATTTTATGATATGGATAATTAGGGGAAAATGTTTAGAAATAATAGCTGAAATAAATAAACAATGAAAGTAAATAAAAAAATAAACAATGAAAGTAAATAAATTGATAAATGAAGCTGCCTTATCAACTTCATCTTAACATGCCATTTATAGCCATTTCGCTTATTTGAAAAGAAAAAAAAGTGCTTTTCGTGTTTCTTTCTCAGTGAATGCCAGACTATCGCGATATTATAACCTTTATATGTTGTTGCAGATAATATCTCAAAGCTATGATATGAGCATGGAAAGAGATTCAAACAATAAACTATCAAATCATTTATTATAATTCAAAAGATAATTAGGTTGTCAACAATTAGTAGATCGTTAACTACCAAAAAGTGA